CTATAGTCAACAAAGCACCGTGTACTTTGTGTTAATAAAAGTATTAGCACAATAAGGATTACTCATCACTAAGACATGAGTCACACTCGCCCTGAGTCTGTTTACAGACAGAGGTGACAGTGCAGGACAGTGCTGTCATGGAAACACGTAAACACACTCAGTTAAAGATTAAGTAAGAAATAGGAAGTGGAACATGGGAAACAATAAAGACCATAATGTCACTGTTTGACCTCCGTTCATAACATCAGAACAGCAGATGGTGAAGAGAGAGAGATGATGAGTCAGAGACGACCTGGTGCAAACAGGGACGGAAGGAGCACACGACAAGGAGCATGAGATAAAGCCCACAGCTGCAGTGAGTGTGGATCTTATCAAACACCTCTGCTTGTGGGTGAAGCTGAGAGTTGGTTTTGTTTGTAGTATATTACTTTCTGCTGGAGGACACTGCCCCCTTGAGGATTATAGGAATAATAATATAATGCATCAGTTATATATAGAGCTCATCATAATTCTTTCACTCCAACACACAACGAGAACTAACGAACACTGCTGATCTCACCTGTCATGCGTCGGTGCAATATCCCTAAATGTGCACTTTATTGTCCCCGTAGGGGAAATTTGTCCTCTGCATTTGACCCATCCTGATGCCACTAAGACTTAAACCTACGCAGACATGGGGAGAACATGCAAACTCCACTCAGAAAGGCTGTGTTCCAACTGGGATTCGAACTCTTGCTGAGAGGCGAGAGTGCTATCCACTCAGCCACCGTGTTGCCAACTAATGTCAGAATGTGCAATATAGAACCACTTGTGTCACTGTCACTTTACTGAGTCACTGTGTCCCAGAGCCTCATGCTGCTAATGTACAGATGTAAACATACTGCATCTTTTAATCTCTGACTCCGGAAGCCCCTCGGTGTTAGTGCTTCTAGATCTGACAGCAGCATTCGACACTGTCGATCATAACATTCTTATCTCCCGCCTTGAGTCCTGTGCTGGAATTAAAGGCACAGCACTCAAGTGGTTCCACTCGTACCTGTCCGATCGGGTGTTTTCTGTAAATCTCGGCTCTTGCAGCTCAAAGAAAGCCTCCCTTGACAGTGGTGTACCGCAGGGTTCCGTTTTAGGACCAGTTTTATTTTCACTGTACATGTTGCCCTTAGGCTCGATATTCAAAAAGCATAACATTTCATTTCACTGCTTTGCTGATGATGTTCAAATCTATTTGCCTTTGAATGTGAATTCCGATTCTGTCCAAGCACTGCAGAAATGTCTTGACGATGGATGTCAATCAATTTTTTAAACCTGAATCACACAAAAACAGAAATTGTACTGTTTGGTGAACCTGATCCGTCTGTTTTCAACGGTGTGTCTAGCCTGTCTTCCTACTGCCGCCCACTTGCAAAAAACCTTGGTGTGTATTTTGATGGTGCTTTTAAAATGGACAAACAAATAAGTTCAGTTGTCAAAGCCAGCTTCTTCCAGCTGAGACTGTTGACCAAAGTTAAAGGCTATCTTCCACCAAATGACCTTGAGAAGGTTGTCCACGCCCTCATATCCACACGGCTGGACTATTGTAACTCTTTATACTATGGCCTTGACCAGTCCTCAGTCCACAGACTGCAGCTGGTCAGAATGCAGCAGCTCGGATGCTGACTGGCACCAGACGACACGAGCACATCACTCCTGTGCTGTTGTCTCTACATTGGCTTCCTGTCGCTTTTAGAATTAAGTTTAAAATGTTATTGTTAGTATTTAAATCTCTGCATGACCTGGCTCCGTCATATCTGACTGACTTGCTTACTTTGCACACCCCGGGAAGAGCACTGAGGTCCTCTGACCAGCTTCTTCTGCACTGTCCCAGGTCTAGATTAAAAACCAGAGGAGACCGAGCCTTTGCTGTGGCAGGGCCTAAACTCTGGAACGCTCTCCCTTACTCCATCAGAGCTGCCCCCTCTGTAGAGAGTTTTAAATAGCAGCTAAAGACACATTTCTTTGCTTTGGCTTTTTAACACAAGCAATGTTGAAACATTTATGATGGTGTCCTGCATTTTATTTTATGCTGAATGTTATTTGTGTCTTGTATTTTTACAATGTCTGGTAAGCACTTTGTGACAGTCCTGTCTGTTTTTAAAATGTGCTATATAAATAAACTTGACCTTGACCTTGACTGCTGCTAATGTACAGATGTAAACATACTGCTGCTAATGTACAGATGTAAACATACTGCTGCTAATGTACAGATGTAAACATACTGCTGCTAATGTACATATGTAAACATACTGCTGCTAATGTACAGATGTAAACATACTGCTGCTAATGTACAGATGTAAACATACTGCTGCTAATGTACAGATGTAAACATACTGCTGCTTAGCGAACACTTGCTGGCAAATGCTGTGCACTGATTAGCTGTTTTGGTTTCTCTCTCTTGTCAATCACCTCCTGGAGGTGACTGATGTCTCTATCAGTTTTGCACATCGAGAGACTGGAATTCTTGCCCATTCTTCCTTGCAAAACAGCTCAAACTCAGTGAGGTTGGATGGAGAGCGTTTGTGAACAGCAGTCTTCAGCTCTTTCCACAGATTCTCGATTGGATTCAGGTCTGGACTTTGACTTGGCCATTCTAACACCTGGATCCGTCTATTTGTGAACCATTCCATTGTAGATTTGGCTTTATGTTTTGGATCATTGTCCTGTTGGAAGATAAATCTCCGTCCCAGTCTCAGGTCTTTTGCAGACTCCAACAGGTTTTCTTCCAGAATGGTCCTGTATTTGGCTCCATCCATCTTCCCATCAATTTTAGCCATCTTCCCTGTCCCTGCTGAAGAAAAGCAGGCCCAAACCATGATGCTGCCACCACCATGTTTGACAGTGGGGATGGTGTGTTCAGGGTGATGAGCTGTGTTGCTTTTACGCCAAACATATCGTTTTGCATTGTGGCCAAAAGGTTCCATTTTGGTTTCATCTGACCAGAGCACCTTCTTCCACATGTTTGGTGTGTCTCCCAGGTGGCTTGTGGCAAACTTTAAACGAGACTTTTTATGGATATCTTTGAGAAATGGCTTTCTTCTTGCCACTCTTCCATAAAGGCCAGATTTGTGCAGTGCACGACTGATTGTTGTCCTATGGACAGACTCTCCCACCTCAGCTGTAATTATCTGCAGTTCATCCAGAGTGATCATGGGCCTCTTGGCTGCATCTCTGATCAGTCTTCTCCTTGTTTGAGATGAAAGTTTGGAGGGACGGCCGGGTCTTGGTAGATTTGCAGTGGTCTGATACTCCTTCCATTTCAATATAATTGCTTGCACAGTGCTCCTTGAGATGTTTAAAGCTTGGGAAATCTTTTTGTATCCAAATCCGGCTTTAAACTTCTCCACAACAGTATCTCGGACCTGCCTGGTGTGTTCCTTTGTCTTCATGGTTCTCTCTGTGCTTTAAACAGAACCCTGAGACTATCAAAGAGCAGGTGCATTTATACGGAGACTTGATTACACACAGGTACATTCTATTTATCATCATCAGTCATTTAGGACAACATTGGATCATTCAAAGATCCTCACTGAACTTCTGGACTGAGTTTGCTGCACTGAAAGTAAAGGGGCCAAATAATATTGCACGCCCCACTTTTTAGTTTTTTATTTGTTAAAAAAGTTTAAATTATCCAATACATTTCGTTCCACTTCACGATTGTGTCCCACTTGTTGTTGATTCATGGCAAAAAATTAAAATTTTATATCTTTATGTTTGAAGCCTGAAATGTGGCGAAATGTTGAAAGGTTCAAGGGGGGCGAATACTTTCGCAAGGCACTGTATGTAAAAAAATCTAGCTGGGAAAATAATATCTGAATAGACAAGAGTTCCACAACAAATCTACAACCAACACCTTTTTCACAAAGGCCCCAACAGAAATACCTCTTTCTCCCTTATTCCTGTTTTGTTATTGATGATTTGAGAATCTATATAACTATACTAAAAGAGGGCAGTTTAGTTCTGCGGCCACATGTTTCTTTACCAGTGAGTCCTGACAACCCGGATCATTGACTTTTTGATTGGTGAATCGGTGGAGGGCGGGAAATCGATGTGAAAACAATGACAAGATTTAGGGGCTGTAAAACTAATTTTGAAATCCAAATATCTTGGCTGAACAACTGTTATCAGTTAGAGACGTATTCAAAAAGAGCATGGTTTATTAATGCCTTTGACACATTAGGGCCATTTAATGAGGACTTGACATGAAAATCTTACATAGGGCTACTTTAACTCCTGCACCATGATCTAATACTGCCCCGTGGTGGTCAACATGAGCACAGCAGCCATTTAACTCATTTTGTTAGTGTTTTTCATTTAAAAAAAAAAAAACCTTCTGAAATTTTCCCACAGTGGGACGAATAAAGGATCTCTTAATCTGAATCTTCTAAGCCTTTGATTCTGATCTCTAAAAAGTGAAGACACAATGACAGCAGGAGTTACAGCGACAGCTGAAAGATAATGAAAATCTGAACCATATGATTATTATTGAGTTTGCTTTTATTTTAACAAAAATATTAAATAAATACATATTTTTTCCACATTCCTCAGAAATATTCCAAGTAATTGAAATCAAAACAATTATAATTTATCATTTAAAACTTTTGTTTTGTTTAAATTAAAAGTTATTACTACTTAATGATAATTAATATGACTTGAATTGTGAGTAATAAGAGACTAAAGTAAAGCTGTGTTTGAGAAAGAAACTCTCAGATGAAAATGAACAAAAACATCTCAGTGTTTTAAACTCAGTAAACGTCTGGTTCTTGGAGAAATCTTAGTAGTAATTTACCTCATTCCTGTTGTTTTGAAACGTTAAAAATATAGTTTTTTAATTATAGCATGACTTTGAATCAGATCTTTGCTGTTAGTGTTAAACAGATAATAAGGAACTGTTCTGTTCAGGATGAGTCTAAACCAAGATCTGAGGTCTGTGTTCATCTGGACTCAGGGATCAGAAGTCATCAGGGTCAGAGGTCAGGGGTCCGTTTGCTGTCCAGCAGACTCCTCCAGTCGTCAGCCCAGGAGGTCAGACGTCTCTGAGGACAGTTCTGGTGCAGGTTGTGGCAGGCGGAGAACAGGATGTGCTCCCAGGACGGACTGCTCTCCACCCCTACAGAAACATATATATATATATATATGTTACTGTATATATGCAATATACAGTAAAGGCTGGTCGCCAGCCCTACAGGAACTAATTATATATATATATATATATATATATATATATACATATACTATATAAAACAATACATGTATATTATACACATGCTGGTCGCCACCCCTACAGGAACACATACATGTGTTTAATGTTAGGATTATAATGTTCTGCGTTATAATTGGAAGATGGGACTCATGGGAGGATTGGAGTTTCTTATCCCAGCAAATGGTACAGTAGAAGAAGAAGAAGGTGCAGTGGTCCTCCGCCCCCCCATCTGTGGCCCCTGCTCTCACCCAGAATGTCAGGTTTGTCGTCAATGAGGATGTCTCCGCTGACCAGCGTCTTGTCGCGGGTCAGGATCACCTGGTCCAGGAAGTCATGGCCCAGATGCTTCTCCACCCACGCATACTACAGGACACAAGACATCAGAGCTAACACATAAATACATTGCCAGGATGCCAGCTGTTTAACTGAGGGATTTTAGCTTTTCATCTTTGTACTGTGATTATTTAGGATTTTAATGACTGTGTGATTGTTTCTATCTTCCTCTATCCTCTATCTTTGTTGCCTTGTGTATGAATTGTGCTATATAAATAAACTTGCCTTGGCTAACATATGCTAATGATCCTGCCACAGGAAGAAGACATGGGAGCTACACATGCTAATGCTAATGACCCTTGCTCAGGACAGAAGACATCTGAGCAAATACATGCTAATGATCCTGTGTCTGTTTGACTTTTATCTGACAGAGCATTTACGATGCAGTGTTGGCCTTTGTTTTGTCCCATTGAGAGTTTGGAGTTTCATTTTTTAGAAAGTGACACCAGAGTTAAAGTGATTACAGACAGGGATCCTTGTTCCGCTGGTACCTTCTCTTGGGGGCAGTGCTGGTACCGTTTGATGGGACTAGTGCAGATGAAGACGTCAGTGCTGCAGGGACAAACACACATGTCTATATTTTCACTGCAAAAACTTTAACTTCACATTTTACCTTTGGACTTGTGCTGCGTCTATAACATTGAAGTATTCCATTTGTAAAGTGTAACATCTATCGTCAAACTTTTGCCACTGTCTAGTCTGTGTGCCTAATTAGGAACAAATTAGGAAAATGTTTGGGTATCATATGCCCTGGCGTTGTTGGTTTAAAATGTCTGCTCCATATAGATTGACTTCACGCACTAAAATCACGCTCAAATCACTTTTTATGCGCTAAAACATGCCGACTACCTGCATTGTTTGGGGGTGCAGTAACCGTGCAGATTGTGGGGACATTCCGAAGGTTATTACGAGCCAGGCGAGCAACTCTCGACGGAGAAAAGAACCCTTTAGTTGGCGAGAGGGATTCAACCCTAACCCCCTGAAAAACGGCACTATAAGGTCTGTTCTGACCATTTCTTAACAGGTAAGAGCTAAATCTGTGCATGTGTGGTTTTATTCAGAGCAGCGATTTGACTGTGATACCATGCATATATGGACCTCAAGCGATTCCCTCTAAATGAATGAGAGGGGGAGGAGGAGGAGGGGGGAAGGGTGGTAGACAGAAGTGATTTACGGCCTGTGATAAAAACTGCTTCGTTCAAAATAAATTATTGATTGAAAGAAATATTGCATCATATACAGTGGACTAAGCCATTTCTGGCGAAGTCCCCTGGTCTCGCTGCATTTCATACGGATCCAAATCTACGATTACTCTCAATTTCTCCAAGGATCTTGCCTCACAGATTACTCCAGTGTATCAATATACTTAACGCGGTCAGCGTCGGCCGAATTTGTGGCTTTAAATTATCCATGACAAATTATCCGTGCATATATAAGCCAGACAAACAACATGGCGTTCGCGCAAAGCATTATGGGTAATAAGCATGTGATGGAAAACCATCTATTGCCACATTTGGAAAATAACTTTGAGGTTTTTGTTTCTTTTAACAACAAAGATTCTGCTGATAAATAGTCTAAATCACAAAAAAGGAAAATAATGTATTTGTTTTTGAATAATTTCAAGGACTGGTCAGCGAACAAACCTGTCCTCCAGACTCTCAATCATAAGGAACAGACGCAACATAAAGCTGTGTTTGTTTCTCCATCATTACATAGAAGAAGCTTAAAGAAAACTCACTTCTCCATCTGAGACATCTGCTTCACCACCTCCACTGCCCCAGGAAGAGGCTCCAGCTCCAGGAAGAAGTCCTTAGACTCCCAGATACTGATGGCTTTGTCCTGCACACAGACACACCTATTTACAGTATGTGTTTGTAATAGGGCTGTAAAACGATTCACATTTTTAATCAAGTGAATTACAGGTTAAAAATTAATGAAAAGTAATAAATTGCGTTTCGAAAAATTTAAAATTATGCCATATTTTTCTGAAAATTGTTGTTTGAATGGAAAGATAAATGACAACATAGTGTATACAGTATATGTACTGTATTTGATTATCACAACAACAATAAATCCACATAAAATATATTAACATTAATGAAGCTGAGGCGCAAATTCAGACTGAAAGACCGGCCACGGCTCTCACCCGTCCAGGGCCTGCCAATCACACAGCGCTGCCAGCCTCTTGTCAACCCACTGGCAGCAAAGCGGGCAGTTTAAAAGCAGTCACTCCACGATAAACGGCCCTTCTGAAGCTCTTAACACCCACCACCTCCCCAGCACCTCCTCGGCTCCTGGTTCCTACTCGGGTTTCCGCTCTGGGTCCAGCTCTGGCTCCAGCTCTGGCTCCAGCTCTGGCTCCTGCTCTGGCTCCAGCTCTGGGTCCAGCTCTGGGTCCTGCTCTGGCTCCAGCTCTGGGTCCTGCTCTGGCTCCAGCTCTGGCTCCAGCTCTGGGTCCTGCTCTGGCTCCAGCTCTGGCTGCGCCCCATTCACACCATGCTTCTAGCCACCACCAGTGCTTGACCCCGGGGGGTCTGAGATCATCTACAGCAGCAGACGATCTCCCCTCTGCAAGTGTCACTGCCGGGGTCAATGCGCCAATCAAATAAATCTTTTTCATGCTTTAAAGTTTCTGTCTTGGCCTCTTCAGATTGAATTAACATTCTGTCTTTCTGTCTAGACTGTTGTTTGTTACAGATGAGGGACATTTCAAAACAGTCTGAAATGCAGAATGTCATTCAATCTGTTTGATTTGCTCACAACATTCTACTTTTGGGCAACACCAACATGAACTGGTAGTGCAAGGGAAATCAGGTTCCCCAGATTTAATTTAGCGAGTTTAGAGTTTTGATATCTCAATATACAAAAAAAAACACGATAATTTTATAGGACAAATAACCCACCAAAAACAACTGCAAATACAAATCCAAAGTCGTTTTTTTAATTGAACCTCAAAACTGAGTCAGTTTAAGTTGGAACAAAGGTTTTCTGTCAAGTTTGTTTCCTGTTTTTACAGAAATTAAACATATCGCCTTTTCAAAAGGAGGAGTGGGCGAGCGCAGCAAGGAGAATCCAAAGAGGCAAAGCGGCGAAAGTGAGAGCCAATATCTCCATATCTTTTGCGATATTATCTCCCATGCTGAATGTGACAGATACATTTCTCCTCTGTGAGATCAATAAAGTTTATCTTGTCTTATCTTAAAGCAACTTGCCCAACACTGATCAGGTTGTTGTAAAAGTTCATAGGATAGTTTATCTTCTTATCTTATCAGTGGCACATGTGTCACAATCGCACTGTAATATGAAACGCAACAGTAGTATTTATGATCAGACCGGTTTGGGTTCATTCTACTTCCGTGCGCAAGGTGCAGGTGTGGCTCATTCTCGCACTTACGCACAGGTCCTCGCGGAGCTCCCCGTACTGCGCAGACACCCAGAATCCCCTGCGCTCCTCCAGACTGATGAACGGTTCCTGCGGGAACCGGGCGCGGAACTTCCTCAAGAACCCGCCTTCGAAATCCGCCAGGACTCCGTCCATGTCCACCAGCACCCTGAGCCGCTTCTCCCCGGAGCTCGACATGTTTACGCCGCAGATCCTTCGCAGAGGATGGTGCAGACTTCGGAGGAGGCGTGAGGGAAGCATCACAGCAGCGCGCACGTAAACGGGAAGGAGGCGGACGCGCGTAAATACGGAACCCCGTTAGCGCGAGTGGACAGGCACTCCAAACTGTGCCAAAAGTTTATGCACGGTGTTAGCTTGGGTTATAGCAGCTTGGGTTTGTTTTGGAGAGGAGCTAGCAGACCGGGGCTAACTTTAGCACTTTAGCAGCGACAGGAGGCCACGTGTCCGGGGGGAGAGCGGTTGTCCTGCCTGTGTGTTTGTATTCTGAGACTCTGGAGCGTGCGTGTGCGTGCGTGTGAATGCAACAGCTTCCAAACAAACAGATACAGATCCATGTAAATGCCGCTTCAGCAACAGCAAAGATAACAGCACCAGCGAGAGAACACTCTGTGCCACAGCAGCGCGAAGATCGTGTGTGGATGAGGAGGTGTCACAATACTGTGTGATAATTGAGTAATAACGTAGGTCAGGGGTCTCCAATCTTGTCCGACTGGAGAGCTACTCTTACAAGACAGAAAGGACAGAGAGCTACTCCCTTGAGTGGCTGTGATGAAAATGTAGTACACAACCAAGAAACATATACAATTAAGTTATTTATCCTTGCATTTGTGAACATAAGAAATATTTATGTATATTTGAAATGTTTCAACTTTGAAATAGCATTTGTTTAATTCCTGAAAGGAGGGTGGTGAGCTACTGGTGGCTCTCAAACTACAGGTTGGAGACCACTGGTGTAAATGATCATAAAGGAGTAGAAGCCAAACTCGCACAGAAACTCACTGATATGTCATTAACATTTAGTCTGAGAAAAGTCAATAAACTTGTACATTGGCTATTTATGTACAAACATTTTACGCTCCTTCAGTCTTGGATTGACAGTCCATCTGTGTGGGAGCAGATCAATCCCTCAATGTAGGCCTCCGAGGTTTCTCACTTTTTTACACTGTGTTTTAGCGTTGTTTCTTTGATGCAGGAGGACAGCCTCCATGGACTTTACAATGCACTTGTCAAATTAATGGGGCTCATGCCGGCTAACACATGCGCAAATGCGTTTTTTTTTCTACATGTTGAAACTGCCCACAGAGGGCAAATGTGGTGGCACATTAGTTTCAATGGCGGGTATAGGTGCGACTACGTCCGTTGATATTCTAACAGTCTATGGTTTGAATTGTTTCTCTGATCTATGTTGGAGAATTGACAGCTTTATAAAGTCATTTCATGAAGTGATTGGGTGGCAATCAGAACTGCCACCCAACTCACCATGGACCAGCCCCCTCGTTGTTCCTTCAACAAAGATACAGCCTTGGTGTTTCCGCAGGGGCTTCAGGCAAAGTGGGGTTAAGTGTCTTGCCCAGAGTCACAACAACCGCAGACAACAGTGGAAGCAGATGACATGGGTCGAGGGGGGATCGAACCCATGACCATTAGGACCAAAGACCAATGCTCTACCAACTGAGTCCCTTTCCCGTTTTATAAAGTCCTACTGTTGTAATTTAGGGCAATACAAAAATAAATTGAACTGATTGTAATGTACATTGGCTAGTTATAACTTCAAAGTCATAGCACAACCAAATATTATTGATCAAAAGTCAACATTTCATAACATTACACTGCAGAAAGACTTATTTATTTTCTAAATTCATTTAAAAGTCTTCAGTATAAAAGAAGACGTTGTGTCCACAACGATTAACAGGACCGGGCCCAGCACCAGGGGGTCCCAGGGATTATGCTTTAAGTGCGATCTTAAAATTACATAATGACTTCAAATTTAGTTCTAGATTTGCAGTATTATCACGTGGCTTGGTGTATTGACTTGTTATAGATACAAATTGTAGAAAAGTGGGCAGGGATAGAACCATAATAGGACAAGAAGACTCAAATACAATGAAAATTACCAAAGAAACATGTCACGTTTTTGTAGTGTGCCTCAAGCCTTGTTGAGCGAAGGTTCTGTTCTCTCATAGAGGATCTTTGTTGAGCCATCAGTTCCCTCACTTCCTTCCCCTTTTCTTTTTCTCACTGTTTTTAAAACGACCCTTTAGACCGGTCACACGCTTTAAGATTTATGCATCAACGAATACAAATACAGTGTATCAGTATGTACTGCTCCAACGCAGTGATACCTTTGGTCCTCCCTTTACAGTCGGTCCTCCCACAGTATGTCGTCTTCCTACACCACATTCACACGCACCAGAGGATGCGGTTCATTCATCTTTTAAAATCTACATCGTGTTTAGGTCATAGGCTGTAAATATGTTTAGGATCGCATTATGTCAATTAAAGTAAAGGCTAAGCATCAAAGTTGGTAGCTTAGCCAACTCGGTAATGGCAGAACTGCGTTGAGAGAAAAAAATAATTGATTTTGTTATTGTTTTATGTATTATCCATAGTATTATCGCATAACACCTCTCACATAGACCAAAACAAAGACAGAATCATCTTATGAAATACAATATTTATAAAAAGTAAAAAATAAATACAATGATATGCAAATTCAATCCAATCACATAAGAAACATATAATATGTAGAATAACATTGATATGCTTGTAAATGCATGTGACCCCTGTGTGAAGATCTCGTCCCTCTATGAGTTCTCGCGGTTTTTCCGGTCTTGGTGGCGGCTGTGTGGCCCCGGTCTTAGTCCAGCTCGGAGCCGTTTGCTGCGTGTGAATGAACAGAGGAGCTCGGAGCCTCAAACCCCGGAGATAATGGCGTCAGCCTTGGAGCAATTCGTGAACAACGTGCGGCAGCTCTCGGCACAAGGTAACGCTCTAAACGTGTACTTGTACGGTTCATGTTAGCCCGGAAGCTAGCTGATGCTAACGCTAACCAATGCTAGCATCCTATTCTGTGAGGGACTAGAGATAGCAGCGCCATGAGACCTGCGCCATGTTGGAATACCTTTGAACATTTCAACTCGTAATTCCTGGGCCAAATCTCATAAAACATTAATGTTCTAATCTATGATCTAATATTTATCTAAAATATTATGCCCCTATTGCATAAGTAATGCATGATGTTTGCTAGTTTAAAGGTTTGTGATAACTATTAATCATATTTCAACATTTTCATCAAGAATTGTGTCTAATTCCGTAGAGTTCTAATGGCACCTGCCCTTCAACTGAAATATACTTAAACCATTCTAGCCTCTTGGCCAATTAATCGAGTAAAAGACCAAAGCTTGACACAACATTCTACTGAAGATTTGAATTACACATTATTTTACTATTATTGGTTCCATATCATAAGGAAAGTCACACTGAGAGAACTGGGCGTGTCAGGAAGGTGTTTTGGGGGACTATTGTACATTTTTTGTTTGTTTGAAGAAACTGGAGCACCAGGAGGAAACCTATACATACACAGGGAGAACATGCAAACTCCTCACAGAAAGGCCTGGAGGTGGATTCAAAAGTCCAAACCTCATCCATATGTACTTTGCCAAAAAGTCCATGTTTTCACTCACTTGCTTTGCAGGCTTTACTAAACCAATACTTAATACAGAATAACATTTTACCAAAACCATATTGTTTATGTTATTGGAAATGTTGTTTGAACTAAATGGCTTTTGCCTTTTGATACGATATAAGCAATTGTTAAATGGTGGAACAATATAATAATAATACATTTATTCAGAACGTTTTAGACAAGTAGGGAAAATAATAGAATAATCCCCAGTTGCCTGGTCCGTGTAATTAGGTTAGGTCACACACATACTATTTGCATTTATGTCAATTTAGTTTTGTTTATGAACACAAAAGATGTCCGCCTCAACCATCACATGCACAACCCCAGTGCTCCCTCTAGTCCCTCACACAGATTTGAAGACCGAACTGAGCCATCTTTTGCCTTATCATGTAAACACACGCCTGAAAGGACGTTGTTTGACCTCAGGAACGGTGCAAAGTTCCGCTAGAAGACTCTTTACAGTAACAATTAGCATACAATTACGCAATAACTCATGTTTAGCGTAAAAATGCTTCAAACTAACATTATTTTAGCTGGAAAATATTTTCTGAGGTCTGGCTGGCGGAAATCCCGCCTTGATCTCACGCGATTGGCTGAAAAAGTCAATGCGTTGATCCGATTGGTTGCATTTGCGCTGATCGTTCCACTGTTTTGAGGCCTTGACCGCTGCGCTTACGACTAATGTAGCGACGAATCGACCTCATTCTATGGCATTACGCACGTGCTTCAGCCGTGATAAATGTGATCCACTTATTAAAGCCTCTTGAGTTGAATGAATGAACCGTTTGCCTCCTTAACTTGGCTCAAAAGTGTGCCCATTCTTATTATTGTTATTAATGCCAAAAAATAGTCACGCAATCTTGAGATGCATTATTGCCTTTTACTGTAACATAAATTATATAATTTATTATGTCGCATGTAGGCAGCTTCCTGAGAGTTCCCTTTACCAAAGCACTTCTTAACGTTAGAAAATGGCATGTGTATAACTTGAAGTTTTGTAAATAAAGAGGATTGATTGATTTAAGCTTGATTCCTGAAACTCAAATAGACAATTGCTCTTTCTTCTTGTCCCAATGCCGCTCTGTATTTGCCCAATAGCGACAGTATGTAAGCACCTTTATAGAGAACATATTTAATCCTTTCACACAGTGAGTGTGTCAATGGTTTCTTAGTCAACCAAATGTATTCGTTGACTGTTTTTATTAAAATGTCTTTTGACAGATGCACCAATATGAAAATTTTAGGCAATATCTGACGTTTATTATTTCCGTTATGGCCGATGTCCAATATTTTCCAATATGAATGTGTTTAAAAAAATATATAAGATAAGTTTGTACAAACTGAATTCTTTCCTCCTTTTTACAATGTTTTTTTTTCCAAATACCAAGCTACCATAAAATATTTGTAAACAACTTTTACCATTTATAAAGCATGCCAGTATTCATGGCAACATAATTTTTTTCCTATGAGTTAGAATTAGCCTGGTCTTACCACACCATCGCACACTTCATTTCGTCGTAGGGTAATAATAATTGTTTGGAGTTTACAGATGGTTAGATCCGTAAGTGCGGGAAAATGCACTCTTATTTTGAGTGAAAACTATTTTCAATGCAGCTAATGCCGTGTACAGTTTGAATGAGTCAATTTCTTTCAACAATGAGGAGGATTAAGCGCCTGTTATAGTGACAACAGTGGAGTCTGTTACTCTGGGATCAACAGAACCACGCCCTGATCAATAATACAATGAATATTTTAAAAGGTATTTAACAGTTCTTTCTCCCTGTTGCCTCGGTTGCTACAACTCAGCTGTGTGTGTTTGTGTGTTCAGGCCAGATGACTCAGCTGTGTGAGCTGATCAATAAGAGTGGGGAGCTTCTGGCCAAGAACCTGTCGCACCTGGACACTGTCCTGGGAGCTCTGGACATCCAGGAGCACTCTCTGGGAGTCCTGGCAGTTCTGTGAGTCTGATGAACCACATTCATAACAACACAACCACAGCCATTCCGCAAACTACTTCCATAACAACGCAACTACATCAAACCCCGGTGATTCAAGATGGCGCCATATTCAAATCAATGTCTTGTGCTCAGTTGCGCATGGGACAGACATAGAAACCAAAAGATTAGCTGAACTCACCAATATTTGGGCATCGTCTGGTCCTCCCGGTTCTGTGCAGTGGACGAGCTCCCATGATGCTTTGCACCAAATAAGCGTGTGTGGCTCTCATGCACGTGCACAGAGGGACTCGGCCGCGCTCTGACCAATCGAAGCTGCTGATCACAATTGCTGATTAATTGTTGCATTAATGTGTAGATTTAAAGAAAACCAATGAATTTAACAAGAAAACAGTTCAGGATGACAAGGAACACTGAATTCCCCACAACATCTGACCTTCATGAAAGCTGTAGGTTGGTCAGCTGAGGTTCATGGGTAGCCCATGGTCTGGGTGGGGCGGCTATAAGCTAGTTACACTACTAATACTAATAATCTAGATATTATAATAGATCCATGAACTACATCCATAACAACACAACACCACAGTTGTGTGTGTTGACAATTGTGTTGTGTTCCAGTTTGTGTATGCTGTGTTGACAGTTGTGTTGTATTGTGTGTGTTCAGGTTTGTGAAGTTCTCGATGCCGAATGTCCCAGACTTTGAGACGCTCTTCTCCCAAGTGCAGCTCTTCATCAGCACCTGCAACGGGGAACACGTCCGCTACGCCACCGACACATGTGAGCGCACATGGTCCTCGCATGGTCCTCACATGGTCCAGCCTGGTGTCACATGGTCCTGATCCTTGTCTCTGTGTCCCCCAGTTGCCGGTCTGTGTCACCAGTTAACAAACGCCCTGGTGGAGCGGAAACAGGTGAGCCAATCACAACACAGCTCACAGGGGAGCCAATCACAACACACAAACTTTTGCTTTAAGCCAGCAATGACAACAGTCTGATTTTTGTTGTTGTTGTGTGGGCTGTGATTGACAAGCAAGCTGTCAATCACAGACCACGCACAATTCTAAGCCCCCCTTCTTGTCCCCTGGTCGTCCAGGCAACGCCCTTTTTAGAGATCATTTTCAAATGTTCATATGGGTGGACTGGGCACAGGTGTTTAGTTTTCCTTTTCAGAGCCCTGTTAGTCATTATTTGACTTTTTGGACTGCAAGTGGATTTTCTGAGCCGATCTAAAGATTTAAAGAGGGGGGAGTGTTGTCCTTCTACCTTAGGGACCTGGCAGAACATAACTGAGCAGTGTTCTAACCCCTGTCTCTGTCCACAGCCTCTGAGGGGTGTGGTGGTCCTCAAACAGGCCATTGACAAAATGCAGATGAACACCAACCAACTCACGTCTGTGCACGCCGACCTCTGCCAGGTACAGGACCACACTACACTAGTGGTGACAACACTACAACAGACCTGGGCAAAATAGGCTCCCAAGTAAATTAATCCAGCCCGTTGCTCATTTTTCATTAAAGTGTGTTAATAAAAAAACCTATAAGATCTAAACCCAGGGCTTTACATGGAGTGTGTGAAGTCGCTTTGATGTAAATGCAGTGATTGTGATTAAAGTATGGGGACAGTCTGTGAGGGTGATGCTTGTACTGTTAGAGTATTTTCCTTGGACAACTAGTATTGTTAACCTCTTTAAGATGTGTCATTTCTCCTATGTCTTAGTCCGCTGTTTGTGTGCGCAGTTGTGCTTGCTTGCAAAGTGTTTCAAGCCCGCACTGCCGTTCCTGGAGCTGGACATGATGGACATCTGCAAAGAGAACGGAGCCTACGACGCAAAGCACTTTCTCTGTTACTATTATTACGGCGGTATGATCTACACCGGCCTCAAGAACTTCGAACGAGCGCTATACTTCTACGAACAGGTTTTTGCTTCTTCTATAACAGACTCTTGTAAGATCGTATACTGCAGGGGAAAGCCATCCTGTCAGACCTCTGAAGCTAAGCAGGGCCTGGCCTGGCCTGGTTAGTACTGTGATGGGAGACCTCAAGGAACACCAGGTGCCACAGTTGGGCGGCTGTGGCCGTAAAGTACCAATGTGTGGTTGTGTCCTCAGGCCCTCAGGCAAGACACTTCCCCCAAATCAGAATGAGTCTGGTGTGTGTTTTTGTGTGTGTGAATGGTTGGTGGAGGTGAGAGGGGCTGATGGTACAAACCTTTTGCCTTGCTTCTGTCGGTGTGCCCCAGGGCAGCCGTGGCTGAAGTAATAGTTTATCACCACTGTGTTTGTAGTGAATGAATTATGATATGTGGAGCGTCTTTGAGAGTCCAGAAAAGTACTATGTGTCTTCCCCTGAAGCGTCTCTGAGGTAGAGGACACTTTAACATTCTACGACATGTATGGACATTTTTCATCATGCGTCTTTATGTTTTTTGACTGTTGATTCTCTGATTTGTGTTGGTGATTTCAATGGTTTTGTTAAGTCCTCTGAGATGACTTCTGTTGTGATTTAGGGCTATACAAGAATAAATCGTATTGTAGAGTATTGTTTCTGTATGGACTGTAACGTCTTCTGCTGTGGTCCCAGGCCATCACCACTCCTGCCATGGCGGTCAGTCACATCATGCTGGAGGCCTATAAGAAGTACATCCTGGTGTCGCTCATTCTCCACGGAAAAGTCCAGCAGCTGCCCAAGTACACCTCACAGATAGTGGGCAGGTTTATCAAGGTAAGGATGCAGTTTTGAATCATTATTGGTATCATTTGAGTAGAAATGTTAGTATTGTGAGTACTAAGCTGCTCCCACAGATCAGGAATACTGCACTAGAGGACTCAAAAATGATGTACATAACATTGTATTTTACTAATAACAAAATGGGCTTTTATTTGTTTCATTGCACTTTATAACATACATTACAAAGTGGAGAGAACCACCTGTCTATGGAATCCCTTTATGAAGCACAAGTGGAACCACTTACTACTGAACAGAAATGATGACCTCTCCCTGTGCCTCTTCAGCCTTTGAGCAACGCATACCATGAGCTTGCACAGATCTACAACACCAACAACCCGGCGGAGCTGCAGAACCTGGTCACCAAGCACGGAGAGACCTTCACCAGAGACAACAACACTGGGCTGGTGAAGCAGTGTCTGTCCTCCCTCTACAAGAAGAACATCCAGAGGCTAACCAAGGTCTGTCCTTCTGACCAGTACTATCATACTACAGACACACTCTGCTCCACTAACCAAGGTCTGTCCTTCTGACCAGTACTATCATACTACAGACACACTCTGCTCCACTAACCAAGGTCTATCCTTCTGAGGCTGTAGATGCGGGACTGAAGCTCGGGACTGAATCTCGGGACTGAGGCTGTAGATCCAGGACTTTAATTTTAAAAACTAATCTTTTCCTAGTCTGACCCTTTGAAAGAGCAGTTCCATCCAGTTCCCACAAACATAATTACATGATGATTATGACATGTTAACGATGATACTCTCCTCAGACCTTCCTCACGTTGTCGTTGCAAGATATGGCCAGCAGGGTGCAGCTGTCCGGTCCTCAGGAAGCGGAGAAATACGTCTTACACATGGTATGTGCTGCCCTCATGTGGCCATGTGAGGTGTGACAGCTCATTCACTGTCTCTAAAAACTTTGCAGATTGAAGACGGTGAAATCTACGCTAGCATAAACCAAAAGGATGGCATGGTGTGCTTCCACGATAACCCCGAGAAATACAACAACCCCGCCATGCTTCACAAAATCGACCAAGAGGTGCTTCCTGGTTTCAGGCTTCTCCCCTTATGCAATATGTAAAGACTTTAAGAGCCTCCTCATTCACACAGTGACAGGTCTGTTATGTTTGAGTATCATTATAGTCTTAAGTCAGCGTTGTGTACTTTGCAAAAAATGCATCTTAGAGAAGTGATGCAGAAAAGTAAAGCCATATTCAGCGTTTTTGGAACATTTGCCATCAAAAATGAATACCTAGTATTTGGTGGATGAGGTGTTTGAAGGACTTTATTCATCTAAACGTATAACAAAATCAAAAATTGTAACACGTGTGAATAATGATACTAATAGTAATTTTTTCAGTGTGTAAATGAGCGTCTCTTAAAACCCTACATTTTGCATAATGTCACATTATTATTTTGAACTTTCAATTTAAAAATTTAATTTTCAGCGTCTGCTCTCATTCCAGATGTTAAAATGTATAGAATTGGATGAGAAGTTAAAATCTATGGATCAAGAAATTACAGTAAATCCACAATTTGTGCAAAAGGTAAGACGGCTTTATGAATTCACACGCATGCTTTAAACTGAAATGGTTTATATTTAAATGCTTTAAACTGAAATGGTTTATATTTAAATGCTTTAAACTGAAATGGTTTATATTTAAATGCTTTAAACTGAAATGGTTTATATTTAAATGCTTTAAAACTGAAATGGTTTATATTTAAATGCTTTAAACTGAAATGGTTTATATTTAAATGCTTTAAACTGAAATGGTTTATATTTAAATGCTTTAAACTGAAATGGTTTATATTTAAATGCTTTAAACTGAAATGGTTTATATTTAAATGCTTTAAACTGAAATGGTTTATATTTAAATGCTTTAAACTGAAATGGTCTAAACTTGTTCCTGTGCAGAGTATGGGGTCGCAGGAAGACGACGTTGGAAGCAAAACATCAAGTTACTCTTGAAGGACTTGGGACGGAGAGTCATGTCCAACACGTTCTTCCGTCGTCGGAATAGTCTGCGTTTTTTTAAAAGAGGAAAAAAAAACATTCTATTGCATAACGGACGTTGGACAAAGATCTGAAGTCTGTGGAATGATGTTGAGTTGGTTGTTTCTTCAGCCTTTTTCTTTTTCATATTTATCTGGTCTACACGTACACAACACACATCAGTGTGGTTCCCAAACGCACTTATCATTTAGGGATATTTCCACTTGGGAATATTTCCACTTGGGAACATTGTCATGAAGAGATCAGGACATTATGACTAAAACATTCAAGAATCTTTATCCCACACCAGTCCTGTTCTGCACGCTACGTCACACACACATGCAAGGTTCTGGATCTGCTGCACTGTCATGTTCTGGGTTTTCTCGGTTGTTGTTTTTTTTAGGACAGATCCACTAGAGGGCGCTGTACAGGAAGCGTTTTGACAGGTTTGTGAAACAGCTTGTGCCGTGGATCTGTTATATAATAAATTGTTAAAGAAAGAAACCATGTTTTCTTTGAGATTTGAAAAATAATGATTTTTATGTGTAACTATCATTTTTTTTATCAGTTTATTACAACTATTTTATCTGTGATAGTGCTTCTCCACGTGTAAAGGGTGAGAACGCTGTGGTGCTGAGTGCATTGGGCCGGTGGAAAAGTCCTTGTTACTCGGTGAAGAATACTTTACAAATGTAAAATGTAATGCCTGCATTAAATATTCATATTTTAAATCAAGATACTGTTATCTGAAAACACAGAAAAAGTACTAATCTTTTACTGCTGAAGGAAATTAATTGAAGGCAAAAGTAACCACTTGGTTTTTAATGTGTGGTGCGTACGACGCTTCAGAATATGTGAAGGTATATGACAATATGAACATAAGAATTACTTTCTTAATCTTGTATAAATACACACAGTGAATTATCTAACACACATGTGCACCCAGAGATGCCCTGCTGGGTTCTGTCCCACCTACAGTGCCTTGTGAAAATATTCGGCCCACTTGAACCTTTCAACATTTTGCCGCATTTCAGGCTTCAAACATAAAGATATAAAAAATATTTTTTTTGTCAAGAATCAACAAGTGGGATACAATCGTGAAGTGGAACAAAATTTATTGGATAATTTAAACTTTTTTAACAAATAAACTGAAAAGTGGGGCGTGCAATATTATTCGGCCCCTTGCGCTAATACTTTGTAGCGCCACCTTTTGCTGCAATTACAGCTGCAAGTCGCTTGGGGTATGTCTCTCAGTTTTGCACATCGAGAGACTGGAATTCTTGCCCATTCTTCTTTGCAAAACAGCTCGAGCTCAGTGAGGTTGGATGGAGAGCGTTTGTGAACAGCAGTCTTCAGCTCTTTCCACAGATTCTCGATTGGATTCAGGTCTGGACTTTGACTTGGCCATTCTAACACCTGGATACGTCTATTTGTGAACCATTCCATTGTAGATTTGGCTTTATGTTTTGGATCATTGTCCTGTTGGAAGATAAATCTCCGTCCCAGTCTCAGGTCTTTTGCAGACTCCAACAGGTTTTCTTCCAGAATGGTCCTGTATTTTGCTCCATCCATCTTCCCATCAATTTTAGCCATCTTCCCTGTCCCTGCTGAAGAAAAGCAGGCCCAAACCATGATGCTGCCACCACCATGTTTGACAGTGGGGATGGTGTGTTCAGGGTGATGAGCTGTGTTGCTTTTACGCCAAACATATCGTTTTGCATTGTGGCCAAAAAGTTCCATTTTGGTTTCATCTGACCAGAGCACCTTCTTCCACATGTTTAGTGTGTCTCCCAGGTGGCTTGTGGCAAACTTTAAACGAGACTTTTTATGGATATCTTTGAGAAATGGCTTTCTTCTTGCCACTCTTCCATAAAGGCCAGATTTGTGCAGTGCACGACTGATTGTTGTCCTATGGACAGACTCTCCCACCTCAGCTGTAGTTATCTGCAGTTCATCCAGAGTGATCATGGGCCTCTTGGCTACATCTCTGATCAGTCTTTTCCTTGTTTGAGATGAAAGTTTGGAGGGACGGCCGGGTCTTGGTAGATTTGCAGTGGTCTGATACTCCTTCCATTTCAGTATAATTGCTTGCACAGTGCTCCTTGAGATGTTTAAAGCTTGGGAAATCTTTTTGTATCCAAATCCGGCTTTAAACTTCTCCAACAGTATCTCGGACCTGCCTGGTGTGTTCCTTTGTCTTCATGGTTCTCTCTGCGCTTTAAACAGAACCCTGAGACTATCAAAGAGCAGGTGCATTTATACGGAGACTTGATTACACACAGGTGCATTCTATTTATCATCAGTCATTTAGGACAACATTGGATCATTCAAAGATCCTCACTGAACTTCTGGAGTGAGTTTGCTGCACTGAAAGTAAAGGGGCCGAATAATATTGCACGCCCCACTTTAGTTTATTTGTTAAAAAAGTTTAAATCATCCAATACATTTCGTTCCACTTCACGATTGTGTCCCACTTGTTGTTGTTTCATGGCAAAAAATTAAAATGTTATATCTTTATGTTTGATGCCTGAAATGTGGCAAAATGTTGAAAGGTTCAAAGGGGCCGAATATTTTCGCAAGGCACTGTACAATCAATTTGGGTTTGACGAAGGACGACATTCAGGTTGCCCAAAGCTGTGTCACTTTTTCAGATAAAATTTACAAACCGTATTTTCCAGACTATTAGCCGCAGGCTCTAATTTTTATAGAGATAAATTGATTTCTTTTACTCATACAGGCTGCACCTGTACATTGTAATATTGAAAAATGTAGCTAAAAAACGATCATCATGTCTTACTGTGAGTAAATGGAGTGAGAAGTGAGTCACCGACCGCTGTTCTTAATAGTCCAGCTTAGTATAGTAAGCTATATAGTATAGTCCATCTTGAAGGAGAAAGGTACGGAGAAACTTCTACTGGTACTCTTTTTCACTTGCATGTCTGTACAAGGAACCAACAAACTATTGAGATATTGACACAAAGGTATTATAACTAAGGACTTCATTTAATCTGCTTGATTGACAAATCTTACAACACTAATTGGACCTCTGTGAACTACTGCTTCTGTTTGTCTACTGCTGGTGTGTCTTGCTTAACGACATGTGGAATCTGCTCATGGTGATTACTCTGCCTGGCGTCGCACCATCAAATCTGTGATGCCTGACTCAGACAGCCGGATTCGAACCCACAACCTCTGCATCTCTCACCGCTCCCTCTGATTGATGCAGAGGCGGATGTTGTCCGTGGGAGACGAACCAATAAAGGCTGATCACACCCTCCGAGGAGGCAGGACTGGATGCACCAACTGTCAATCATCCACATCTTATTCTTGCCATTGGTTAGATTCACGAGAGATGGGCGGGACTTGGGTTAGGTTGAAATTCCAATGCTAACCAACTTTAGCCAGGATGCTAACCTGCTGCTAACATGTAACAGCGGCCGCTTTGACACACCGGGGATCACATTATTCACGACTTTGAAATGACTTGCAATTGCGTTATTCTGGGACATTGTGTATGAAAAGCACCAAGCCAGCTTCGGATAATGCCCAGTTAACTGTCGGCGGAGAACCTGGCGTGTCCTGTGGGCATCGGAGCTGGTGTGTCCGCCTGAAGAGGTGCCGGAGCCGGATGCTGAGACGACCATGAGTCCTGCGGGCTGCCCCCATGTCAGCGGCTTCAAGGTGGACAACTGGAAGCAGAACCTGCGGGTCATCTACCAGTGCTTCGTGTGGAGCGGGTCGGCCGAGAGCAGAAAACGCAAGGTATGAATAGTGTGTGTGTGTGTGTGTGTGTTTTAGTGTGTGATTTAGTGTGTGTGGTCGTGGAAGCATCACCACCTCCTTTCCACCACAGCAGCATCCCACGGTACCACAGCCCACTGTCTGGCTCTCTCTCAGAGCTCAGACCCGTAGTGAGTCGCACTGGAGGCAGATCCAACACGTGTGTGTGTTCCTTTAGCTGTCACATTGTCAACATCACTGCTGCAGGAGTCTGACACTGGAAGTCCCTGTCACTATCTTTTCTTGAGGTTGACATCCGTCACAAAACTGCGGATGAAACGAGGCGTCTTTGCTTATTCTTAAATTGTGCATTAATAAGCACTTAATAAAATAATAACATTCACAAAACTGATTGTATTTGGCGACACCAAAATAAACAAATGTGCTCACAGTAGGGCTGTAATGTAAATGACCTATAATAATGATGATAATGCATCGGTTTTATACAGCACCTTTCTGGACACTATGCTTCAAATCATAATTTTCAGTAATTTTTTCCCTCAACACGGTAGTGGTGAATCTCTACTGTAGCCACAGCTGCTCTGGGGCACACTGACAGAAGAAAGAAAAAAACAGTCTGTGCCTTCGGCCCCTCTCACCACCACCACCAACCATTCACACACACCAGACTGAATCTAATGTGGGTGAAGTGTCTTGCCTAAGGACACCACCAGTTTGACATTTTACAGCCACAGCCGCCCCACTGTGGCACCTGGTGTTCCCAGAGGTTTCCCATCACAGTACTAACCATGCCCTGCCCTGCTTGGCTTCAGAAGTCTCCCTTCACAAATTGATTATTAGTGTGCGCTTATTTGTTTCTGATGTTGTGTGTTTCTTGTGTGCTATGTTTCAGGCCAAGTCGTGTGTGTGTCACATGTGCGGCGCTCACCTCAGCAGACTTCACTCCTGTCTCTACTGCGTGTTCTTCGCCTGCTTCACCAAAAAACACATCCACGAACACGCCAAGAGCAAGAGACATCACTTGGGTAGGTGAGGGAGTGAAGGGGTGATGAAATGGATTCCTCCAAATAGAATCACATTTTTTTCCTGTGGAGTAGAAACAACTGAAGCCTCAGGGTGGTTTTTTTCACATTTTCCTGCAGGAGGAGCTGCATTTGGCCATTTTTAAAAAGATGGCATGAGGGGAAGTGATGTCACATAAGTTCACAATACGTCCGTAAAATGGTGCAGACAGACATGCCCCACATCTGCATATGATCCCTCCAGCCAGACCTCTTGGCCCTGTGAGCGAACCAGCAATGAAACACAATGCCTATTTGGGCCTATATACAGTGCCTTGCGAAAGTTTTCGCCACATTTCAGGCTTCAAACATAAAGATACAAAAATTATTATTTTTTGTCAAGAATCAACAACAAGTGGGACACAATCGTGAAGTGGGACAAAATTTATTGAATAATTTAAACTTTTTTAACAAATAAAAATAGAAAAGTGGGGCGTGCAATATTATTCGGCCCCCTTGCGCTAATACTTTGTAGCGCCACCTTTTGCTGCAATTACAGCTGCAAGTCGCTTGGGGTATGTCTCTATCAGTTTTGCACATCGAGAGACTGGAATTCTTGCCCATTCTTCCTTGCAAAACAGCTCGACCTCTGAGGTTGGATTGAGAGCGTTTGTGAACAGCAGTCTTCAGCTCTTTCCACAGATTCTCGATTGGATTCAGGTCTGGACTTTGACTTGGCCATTCTAACACCTGGATACGTCTATTTGTGAACCATTCCATTGTAGATTTGGCTTTATGTTTTGGATCATTGTCCTGTTGGAAGATAAATCTCAGTCCCAGTCTCAGGTCTTTTGCAGACTCCAACAGGTTTTCTTCCAGAATGGTCCTGTATTTTGCTCCATCCATCTTCCCATCAATTTTAGCCATCTTCCCTGTCCCTGCTGAAGAAAAGCAGGCCCAAACCATGATGCTGCCACCACCATGTTTGACAGTGGGGATGGTGTGTTCAGGGTGATGAGCTGTGTTGCTTTTACGCCAAACATATCGTTTTGCATTGTGGCCAAAAAGTTCCATTTTGTTTTCATCTGACCAGAGCACCTTCTTCCACATGTTTGGTGTGTCTCCCAGGTGGCTTGTGGCAAACTTTAAACAAGACTTTTTATGGATATCTTTGAGAAATGGCTTTCTTCTTGCCACTCTTCCATAAAGGCCAGATTTGTGCAGTGCACGACTGATTGTCGTCCTATGGACAGACTCTCCCACCTCAGCTGTAGTTATCTGCAGTTCATCCAGAGTGATCATGGGCCTCTTGGCTGCATCTCTGATCAGTCTTCTCCTTGTTTGAGATGAAAGTTTGGAGGGACGGCCGGGTCTTGGTATATTTGCAGTGGTCTGATACTCCTTCCATTTCAATATAATTGCTTGCACAGTGCTCCTTGAGATGTTTAAAGCTTGGGAAATCTTTTTGTAACCAAATCCGGCTTTAAACTTCTCCACAACAGTATCTCGGACCTGCCTGGTGTGTTCCTTTGTCTTCATGGTTCTCTCTGCGCTTTAAACAGAACCCTGAGACTATCAAAGAGCAGGTGCATTTATACGGAGACTTGATTACACACAGGTACATTCTATTTATCATCATCAGTCATTGAGGACAACATTGGATCATTCAAAGATCCTCACTGAACTTCTGGAGTGAGTTTGCTGCACTGAAAGTAAAGGGGCCGAATAATATTGCACGCCCCACTTTTCAGTTTATTTTTTAAAGTTTAAATGATCCAATAAATTTCGTTCCACTTCACGATTGTGTCCCACTTGTTGTTGATTCATGACAAAAAATTAAAATTTCATATCTTAATGTTTGAAGCCTGAAATGTGGCGAAATGTTGAAAGGTTCAATACTTTCGCAAGGCACTGTATGTTCATATGAATTGGATTTAAAACTCAATGTCCTCAACATTCGTAAGATTGTTTTCTCGTAAACCACATTCCCTCTGTTGAGACATTTCTTATGGCTCAAAATCTGTGCATATGTCCCAAATGTATTCACTTTGAAATGGATTTACATGAAATGTTTTACTAATCCTAATGTGTCTCACTGTATATTTAGAGTTAGACATAACCTTAATTAACAATCCCAACACCAAACTTGCACGCCCAAAACCCCCAAAGTCCATATTTGACACCCTGCTGTCATCAGCAATGTCCAGCAATGTTCTTTGATATCACAGAACCACTCTCTGCACACTTCAGAACCAGGCTGCAGAAAGCAGAAACTCCAGAACAGACAAACATTAACTGGAAACCTCCAGATCTCAGATATACTTGAGGGGAGAGGTCTCTAGTACATCACCTTCAACTTGTGGAAGAGATTAAATCAAATGGACCTGCCATTTTTACCGCAGTGGGTGTCATCAGAAGCTCTGGAAGCTCCCAACATGGACTGGACCAGGACTTGTATTTGATGACTTTCACAAGTGCCCAGTCTCCAGAACTCCAACAGCTCCTCCTGATCTGCATCTTTGTTCTGTGTTGTGTCTTGGCCCGTGGCTGCTCTGCAGCTCGGGTTGGAGGTGGATTGGAGGTGGGTTCTCCACAGGACATGAACTTTTACCTGGCGCAAAATGGAGTGAGGTGTTGTTTCTCAAACAAGCCAAAGAGCACATTGGTTAATACGTTTCAAAATCCAAACTTAAGTGAATTAGCTATTCTTGATTATGGATTATCATTAAGACAATATGAAAGACAGTCTGTCAATTTCAAAGTGTCTTTCCCCTTTTAGACCTTATAGATTTATTGTTCCCCTGTTGAGTATTTTTGGGTGTAATTTTGTTTCAGTTAAACTTTAAGTTTCTTTTAGCTTCTTTGCTTTAGCTTTAAATATTCTGATAGAATTTTAGAATCACTTGTTTTTGAACTGTTATTCTTGTTTCTCCAAAGATTGAAAAAGCATTACATTTTCATATTTGGTGAGTTTATTTTGTCAAGTAAGATTAGATTTTAACAGACAAACGCTTAAAGACACATCTGCCGATGACCGATCCCGCCAGACCACTTGGCCCTGTGAGCAAAGCAGCAATGAAACATAATGCATACAGGCCAAATATGGTCACATGAGATGGATTTAAAACTACGTTCTCAAAAATAAGCAACTAAAAGCGACATTTCATTAACTGTATTATTGCAATACTTAACAGAATCACAGTATTTAGCGGTTTTCCAAGTTTTGACCTGGAAAAACGTTCTCTCGGCTTTTCATTTTCTCCTACATTTCTCCAAACTGCAGTTTCCAGAAATATGTCATAAATCCCCTAAAGACATCATTATTGTCAGTACATTGCAGAGTCAGTGTTTGGCAAGTCGCAATTTCGTCTCAGTTCATTGCCCTCAAGTCCTGAGTCCTACGGTTTGACTTTTGAGTCCTTTCGAGTCTTTTTGACCGCGATTTGTTTCTTTGTGGTCTCCACGTAGTTTTTAAAGGCAAACAAGATAATCGTAGGAATAACTTTTCTGGAGCAATCACGTCTGGCCCATGGACTTTAGCTTGTTTCATGTAGTTGGCCGCTGTCGATTCAAACACTTGATTTTATTGGAGGTGGTGCAGAAGGCAGGCATGTTCTGTCACACACGCACAGGCACAAACATAAACAGAGATGGAGCAGTCCGTGTCAACATACTTTTTATTTTTGGGGTGTTTATGGGAACTAGCAAACTGTAGCATGAATAGCATGCTTATATTATAATTATTTAATCTAAGTTTTGGGCTTGGACCAGAAGATACGTGTGGCTCACGAGAGAGCGGTGTTTGAAATACAACAGAGACAGTGATACGGCGCAATTGTGAATGATATTGAATGAAAAATTACAAAAGAGACTGTAAATATTGTATATTCTGTACATATTCCCAATGAGAGTGTAGCGGTATGCCACTAGTTCATGTCTATATATAAATAGTTCCGTAGTAGTTATTGTTCCAAATGTCATAAAGGTTTGTGGAGGTGTTGTGTGAGTGATCAAAGCTGCTCGCCTCCTACCGCTCTGAAGGATAGAGGTAGTTTTGAGGGGTCTAGGCTTTGCAGGTTTGAAATAAAATAAATCTTATCTAAATATTAGGCCATGGCGCAGACACAGAAAAACATTATTAAAAAGAGCCAATAGAGCAGCGGAGACTCGCGCTAGCTACGAGCTCCCTGCAGAAACCAAAACGGTTTGAGTCTGCAGCTCCTTTTTAAAATACTGCACACACTGTGACCACCACAATGTTTCAACTGTAGGAGGCGCCTGTAGTGAAAACATATCAGATACTGACTGTGCCACTTCCATGTCCTCCTGATGTTGACACAGTGTTGATCCAAACGTGTAAAGAATCAGACTCGTTCTTCAGACACTTTTACAAAAGTGGAGTTTATAGAGTTTTCCTCTGGTGTAAAGTCTCCAAACCTACGGGCAGTTGTTATGGCAACAGCCAACAGGTTCAGAAGTGAAAGAAGAGCGAGATGTGTGACTTCAGACACTGTTTTTCACAGAAACAGAGAAACACAGGGGAAAGTAATCCGTCATACGTCTCAAAGGACCTGACCTCAACTGTGATTTAAATTAATTTATTTCAAAAGGCTTTGTCAAAATGTACCAAAAAGAAGGGCTGGAAACTATATCACAATATAAGTGTTTCATATCGGTCGATTTCAATAATTGTTGATTTGTTTTAAACCTAAATAAATACATTAATGTTGGCTAACACGTTAGCAGCACTTGTTTACAGTCACTGGAGATTGAGAAGCGACTGTAAAGTGCCAAACTGAAGCTAAGCTAACTTGTCTTTTTCTGTCTGTGATTTTAGACGGTTCAATCGCTCAACATTTGTATCAGAGAAATATGAATATGATCCGTCTGTGGAGAGCTGCCACTTTACCTGCACTTGTTTGTAGCAGTCATTTTAGATTTAAGTTTTTATGCCTTTACCTTTTTTTACTCTTAGAACTGGTTTGCAACTCAATCCAAAACACATTCCTTTGGAATATAATAAAAACTCTGATCAGAGCTGCTCACTTCTGTTTACATCCTCAAAGCATTGAGGCTGATGCAGCATCTGCAACAGTAGAACTGATACAGTGTGTGTGTTTCTGATGCAGTGTGTGTGTCCGCAGCTGTGGACCTGCTGTTCGGGGGTATCTACTGCTTTATTTGCCAAGATTACATCTACGACAAAGACATGGAACAGATCGCCAAAGAAGAGCAGCGCAAAGCCTGGAAGATGCAAGGTATGGATCTGATGCGAGGTCTCAGTCTTATGGTGCTTTCAGACCACAAACGCTCAAACGCTGAAGCCTCGCCCACCAGACGCGCATTCTCTAGTTTTCAGACGCAGGGGTCTTCACACCAGAACGTCCTGGCCAGCGCCAGAAGTGGCGGAAGTAGCCGCCCGGCTCTGATGCTAACAGTTATGCTAGCGGCTTCTCGAGTAAAGATCTTCTCAAATTTTGCAGCGTGTTTGTGTTCATAGACCTTCCTTGGACTTTTTATAACGGTAGAATGTGTTCACGGAGGTGTGCAATAAGTTTATTTTATTATTAAACGGTACTTCCGCATCGGCGAACACACTCGAAGCAGTTGCATAAAGTGACGGGAGCTTGACAACGCATATATTCACAAGCACGCAGTCCCCCATTGTCAACCCTGGTTTTAAGCTCCTGTTTTGGCTCTTTAAAGTATGTTCAGTCTGCTCGCTCAGACCACCAATGTCCCCGTGACCACTTTGTGGCTCTCTGATTGGTCGCTGCACGAACGTCCTGAGGAAAGGTTGAGCAAAGTTTATTTCCTGTGGGCGTCCATTTTCCGCTACTGCTCCTCCCGTTTGACTTTCCCGCGCAGTCCGTGCGTCTCTACTGAACAGTCCGTTTGTGCGTCCTGAGATGTTCGTGTGTTTTGACGTTCAAACGCTCGTCTCCATAGACTTTGCATTGAAAGCCGACGCAACGCATGATCCGGTCTGAAAGCACCATTAGTCTACAGCTGTGAACTAAGACCAAACAGATCCTGGATCAGTCAATTTTCACTCATGCTTTTGTTGCAGGAATCGGAGAGAAATTCTCCATCTGGGAGCCCACGAAGAGAGAACTGGATCTGCTGCGACACAACCCCAAGAGGAGGAGAATCACCTCCAACTGTACCATAGGTCAGAGGCACATCTCACTGTACCTATAAGTGTTATCTTTTTGTTTTCAATATTTACAGCCGTAGATCAATGTGTCAATGGCTCCTGCTGTAGCAGTGATACTGTAACTATTGATACTGCGGCTGTATTTCAGAGCATGAAAATATATTTGCTAGGATTAAACTTTTATTTAACTCACAATAGTCGTTTGAAGTAGTTTTTATATGACTGTTTATTGCAATAGTTTCCTATATTATTTTTATTATTATTATTAATAATGATGATTTAAAATATATTTCATGGGTCAATATGAGTTATTGTGACAGTCATTGAGTACCTGTGCTCCTCAGACTCTGAAACCTTTGTACCTGTGCTCCTCAGGGCTCCGTGGACTCATAAACCTGGGAAACACGTGTTTCATGAACTGTATCGTTCAGGCGCTGACACACACTCCGCTGCTCAGAGACTTCTTTCTCTCGGATCGACACAAGTGCGAGAATCAAAGCAACTCCTGCCTCGTCTGCGAGATGTGCCAGCTGTTTCAGGAGGTAACACACAATTAGACCCAGTAACAAGAGTAGCTTTATTATTTATATTTAATTCTACATAGTGTAGTATTTTAGATGAAGTCCGATCAAATGCAACACTTTAGATTCACTCAGGTGAAAGTCTGAAATATATGTGATATATTAGGGCTGTCAGAATTATCGCATTAACGAACGTTAATTACATCTTTTCATTAATCCCGTTTAAGAAAATTAACGCATTTGACGCATGTACTGAATGCCCATGCATCCCATAATAACACTCAGAATTCAGTGGACACATGCATGTGATGACAGAGCAGGTAGGTCCTCTGAGAATTCAAGTTTAAAAAGAATATGCGTGTGACCGCGAGGCACTTGCTGTTGTTTGTCGCAGTGTTTTGACCCAGGGCAGCTGCGGCCGTGGCGGTTCCCACCTCCAGCGGCTGTGAGCTGCTTTTTCAACAACACGGTGAACGGCGCCGCTGTAACGTCATATCCAAGACCTTACACGCACAGGACCATAGACACAGAACTATTCTCTGCTTGTTGTGTCCGTGTCTTTGCGTAACCTGTGATAAGATAAGACTTTATTAATCTCACACAGGAGAAATGTACATGTCACATTGGCAAGGACAGGAACACTCAAGAATTGTGCAAAAGTAAGAAATGTGCAGCATGTTAATGCAGGATATATTATGTACACAAAAGTGGCGATTAGAAAGAAGTGTCAGTAGTAGTGCAGGTTTCTTTTCAGTCATAGTGCAGTGACTTATTGTACAGTCTGACAGCGGTGGGGATAAAGGCCCTGCGGTAGCGCTCCTTCCTACACTGAGGGTGTCTCAGTCTTCCACTGAAGGAGCTCCTCAGCTCCTCTACAGTCCTGTGCAGTGGGTGGGACGTGGTGTTCATGATGGAGGTGACTTTGACTATAGCACCCTCCTGTCCCTCACCTCCTCCAGAGTCCAGGGGGCAGCCCAGAGTGGAGCTGGCCCTCCTGGACCAGCTTGTTCAGTCTACTCCTGTCCCGCTCTGTCCCGCTCTGTGCTATATATATATATATATATATATATATATATATGACAGGGGAATGAAAAAGTATCTGAAGCAGTGTTTGTGACTATTCACTCGATGGTGATTTTCTGCAGAAATGTGAGAAATTCCAAATGCTTCAGAAACTTTGATACGATGGAACCAAATGTAGCATGTAGCCTGAACCTGCTGTGATGCTAAATGTTTGCTAGCTAACCCTGCTGTGTCAGTTCTACTCAGGCCACCGCTCGCCTCACATCCCGTTCCGACTGCTGCACCTGGTGTGGACTCACGCTCGCCACCTGGCAGGATACGAACAACAGGACGCTCACGAGTTTCTGATCGCGGCCCTGGACGTTCTGCACCGACACTGCAAAGGTCGGGTGACACGGGTCTCTACTATAGACTGTAAATATTAACGGACGTAGTCCCGCCTATCTCCGCCGTTTTTACTAATGTGCCATCACTTTCGCCGTCTATGGGCAGCTTCAAAATGGCCGCACAATTAATTTGACGAGTGCCTTCAAAATTTCACAGCGTCTAAACTAGACTGGTCCAAAAATTCACTCCCCTCAGCATTGACACACATGTGGAACGTAGCGTTGGGCCAAGAGCCAACTTTTAGACCATCCTGTAAAGACGTTTTTGAGAGGTAAGAAGATACGTACATTAGCATTGGCTAATTCTTTTTCCGGCTCCACCCCCACTGGCCCGGGGTGGGCCAGCATGTCATCTGGACACTTTTGAGCCGGGACTCGCCCCCACTGGTCTCCTACAGGGGCTGAAGGGTCCCTACTCGGGTCTCTATAAACCCCAGTTTCATATAATTGGGATGAATGAAGCGCTCCTTTGACTCAATTTTCACAAAAGATTGAGAGTTTTAATTGATTTGTTTGTATTTAGTGAGTGGTATTTTATGAGTTGTTCTTACATTATTTGGATGGTTAAATGTTTACATTGAGATTATTTTTTTTATCTTTGCTGGTCCTATCAATGTGTGTGTGTGTGTGTAGATGGTTACTTTGTAAATTTGTTTAAGCATATTTTTTGTTTGTACATTCATTTTTGTGACATTGAGGAGTGTGTAGACCCCAGGAAGAATAGCTACTGAATATTTCAGTTGCTAATGGCGATCTGAATAAAACAAAAACGGCCTCTGCACAGGTCACACACACAACGCACCGCAATTTATCATTTTTTTGCCTAAATCACAACAGTAGTGATCACAATGTCAATTTTCCCACACAGATCAGAGAATTAAACAGTTCAAGTTCGATAGTATCATAGTGTTTGTGTGTTCTGCAGATGACAACGGTAAAAAAGGCAACAACCCAAACCACTGTAACTGCATCATTGACCAGATCTTCACTGGAGGTCTGCAGTCGGACGTCACCTGCCAAGTCTGCCAGTAAGCCCTCACCCTGACCTCACACTGACCTCACACTGACCTCACACTGTCCTCACCCTGACCTCACACTGACCCCACACTCACACTGACCTCACACTGTCCTCACACTGTCCTCACACTGTCCTCACACTGTCCTCACCCTGACCTCACACTGACCCCACACTCACACTGACCTCACACTGTCCTCACACTGTCCTCACCCTGACCTCACACTGACCCCACACTGACCCCACACTCACACTGACCCCACACTGTCCTCACCCTCACACTGACCTCACACTGACCCCACACTCACACTGTCCTCACACTGTCCTCACACTGTCCTCACCCTCACACTGTCCTCACACTCACCTCACCTCACACTGTCCTCACACTGACCTCACTGTCCTCACACTCACACTGTCCTCACACTCACTGACCTCACACTCACACTGTCCTCACACTCACTGACCTCACACTCACACTGTCCTCACACTGACCTCACACTCTCCTCACACTCACTGACCTCACACTGACCCCACAATCACAATGACCTCACAATCACAATGACCTCACACTGACCTCACACTGACCCCACACTCACACTGTCCTCACACTGTCCTCACCCTCACACTGTCCTCACACTCACCTCACCCTGACCTCACACTGTCCTCACACTGACCTCACTGTCCTCACACTCACACTGTCCTCACACTCACTGACCTCACACTCACACTGTCCTCACTGTCCTCACACTGTCCTCACACTCACTGACCTCACACTCACACTGTCCTCACACTGACCTCACACTCTCCTCACACTCACTGACCTCACACTCACACTGACCTCACAATCACAATGACCTCACAATCACAATGACCTCACACTGACCTCACACTCACACTGTCCTCACACTGACCTCACTGTCCTCACACTCACACTGTCCTCACACTCACTGACCTCACACTCACACTGTCCTCACACTCACACTGTCCTCACACTCACTGACCTCACACTCACACTGTCCTCACACTGACCTCACACTCTCCTCACACTCACTGACCTCACACTGACCCCACACTCACACTGACCTCACAATCACAATGACCTCACAATCACAATGACCTCACACTGACCTCACACTCACCTCACACTCAGAGTCCTGGAGGCGGGACCGAGGCTGGACTGGGGATTTGTATCTCGTGGTTGTGTCTATTGTGTGTGTGATTCTGTCTCTTGTGTGTTTTGTGTTGCAGTGGCGTGTCCACAACCATAGACCCGTTCTGGGACATCAGTCTGGACCTGCCTGGTTCCTCCACCCCCTTCTGGCCCCTGAGTCCTGGAGATGGAGCTGCTTTGAACGGGGAGAGCCACACTGGGGGGGCCACCACCCTCACAGACTGTCTGCGCAGGTGCAACACACATACACATACACACACACACACACACACACTCATACAACACACACTCAGACTGTCTGTGTAAAGGAAATGTCCGGATACTTTATAAGTGTATCCATAACATAACCCAATCAGAGTTTGACACCTGCATTCATCTATAGTGTTATTTTTGTTATTTTTTATTAAATCATGCAGGTTAAATGCAATAATTTAAGCAATAGTTTGCTTAATTTTAAAACATACATGTGCAGGACATTTGGAGAATAACAGTGAAGAAAAGAGATGTTCTTCTTTAGACAAACACGTGGAGACATGAGTCCATCAGGGACAGACCCATGTCCAGAAATGTGCTCATTCAATGACATCTATCAACATTTATGGTCTCTGCCCCTGATGGACCAATGTTTGTATGTGTTAGTTACCTTTTGAATTTCCTGTGTTTGAAGTGTTGATCTCTGATCTGTGTTGAATCTTTGTAGATGACCTCCTGAGGAGACTCCCTCCTCACACTCACTCACTCTCTCTCATTGACCCAGCATGTCATGTGTCCAGGTTCACTCGGCCAGAGCACCTCGGCAGCAGCGCTAAGATCAAGTGCAGCGGTTGCCATAGTTACCAGGAGTCCACCAAGCAGCTGACCATGAAGAAGCTGCCCATCGTGGCCTGTTTCCACCTCAAAGTATGTGGAGGATACAGGAGATACTGAGGCCTTCAATTAATCCTCAGAGCTGTAGAAATGCAGCAGCAGCGACCAATGAAACACCAGTCTGACTAGCTGGATTAGATTAGATCCACTGCCTCCTCCTCCTGCTGCTGCATCTGCAGAGAATTCTAACTGTGTGTGTCTCATGTGTGTGTATCTTGTGCAGAGGTTTGAACACTCGGCCAAACTGCGGCGGAAGATCACCACATACGTGTCCTTCCCCCTGGAGCTGGACATGACGCCCTTCATGGCCTCCAGGTGTGTGTGTGTGTGTGTGTGTGTGTGTGTGTAGACTGTGACATCAATGCTCTAGGTTAGAAACGGTCTCAGGGCAGCTGTGGCCTCTCACTGAGACATGTTTGAAATTCAGCAGAAAGTTTTACTTTGTTTTATTAAAAGAAACTTCTAAACGTTTTACATTTATAAATGCTCTTTGTTGCAGTAAGGAGAGCAGGATGAACGGCCAGTATCAGACGCTCGACCCTTTCAACAACGACAACAAGTGTGTACACGCCTCCAACACACCACTACAGTCCTCAACACCTCACAACACGCCTCAAACATGACTGTTTGATGAATCGTCCCCATCACGTGTGTCCAATGACTCAGGACGTTTCCTTCCTCAGCTGATGCAGCGACAGAGTGAAACTAACTGTTAGAGATTGTTAAAAACCAAAATGTGCCAAAATAATTTTTTCGTCTTTGTGTTTTCACCTGTGGGAGCGCAAAAGGCTGTCCATTTCACACTTGTCTCTGTCCTCCTCTCACTGGTCTCTGTCCTCCTCTCACTGGTCTCTGTCCTTCTCTCACTGGTCTCTGTCCTCAGGTACAGTCTGTTTGCAGTGGTAAACCACCAGGGGACGCTAGAGAGCGGCCACTACACCACCTTCATCAGACAACACAAGGACCAGTGGTTTAAATGTGACGACGCCATCATCACCAAAGCCAGCATCAAGGACGTGCTGGACAGTGAGGGGTGAGCCTCTGACCTCTGTGTTTAGACTTTCTGACCTCTGTGTGTAGACTCCCTGACCTCTGTGTGTAGACTCTGACCTCTGACCTCTGTGCAGGTACCTGCTTTTCTACCACAAACAGTTCCTGGAGTACGAGTGACGAGCTTCAAGTGCAGTGACCTGTGACCAAACGTGTGGAGACTGAGGTGCACTCTTCATGGACAATGGGCTGGAGTTTGTCACTGGTGTCTGACTCATTCCTGTAGATACTATGTAGATAGCAGTCTTTCTGGTGTGTCCCTCGTGCTCCGGTGCGGACCTGTGGTGGTAAATGGCAGTATATATTTTTATACTGTACTGTGCTGTTGTTGTTGCTGCAAAGTGCTTCATTATTTTTCTACTGAAAGAAAACCTATCATGTTTAAAGAAATCGTGTGTATACAGAGACTGCAGGTTCTCAAGGCTGTTCTGCATGTGGCTCTGTGTGTGCGTATGCACGTGAGCATGCACGTGCGTATCTACTATGTGCTGTACTGAATCAGTACTTGCTTAAGCGTCTGAACTGGAATCAGTTTGACTGTTCTCATGTTTGTAATATGTACATATGTGTGTGTGTATGTACGTGACATGTACATATTTGTGTATGTATGTAACATACGTGTTGGAGACTTGTGAAACTTGAAATGCTTGTCATTCCTCACGTGTAACTGCTGCAAAACTGGAAAGTGTGAAAACACTAAATAAAACAAACTTCATTTGTGTTTTGTTCCAAAATTATTTTTAGGCAGATGCATTTATGAAAATAACCAAAATAATGTTATTATATGGAGTGACAGACAGACTAAATATTCAAGATGGCCGCCTGCTGCAGAGTAAAGGAAATGTATTATGGGCCAAACAAATATTTCAAGTTTTAAAAACTTTTTCTGAATTCAGTTTTAAAATCCCAATGATTTTTTTTGTCAACCAAAAATGATGAGTATTTTAACCACTTAGGTCAGATGGATTCTTTGACTGGAATGAGTTAATTTGTGAACACACAATTTGTGAACACATTACTGAGAGCAATATCAGAGAAGCTGCTAACTCTGATTTATTTTATTCTTATAAAAGAAAATCAAGATTCCTTTTGCTTTCGCCTCAGTCTTTTTTGTGTTCTTTAAGAAATATTCCAAAAACATCTGAAACATGAAACCTGTGTAAAGGTTTAAGCACAGCAGTTGAGACGTGAGTGAAAAAAAAAAAAAGTGTCATAACAGATGCCCCTCAACCAGGGGCCTCAGACTGGGACCTGTCAGTTGGACTCTGGGACTTGACACTAACAGGAAACAGCTGCAGTTCTGAAAAGCAGGTCCAGGTGGCAGTGTTGTCACACTGTAAAACGTGACGTTTTACAGAACTGCTGTTGAAGCAAGTAAAAAAAAAAAAAAAATAATCGAAACCAAAGTATGATGTTCCATTCTTGATTAGCCTTTACCTCTGCACCACCGTCCTTCCTCAAGTCTCTCAGGTCTTCTTCACGAGAGAGCTACGTCTGCAGTCAGAGCTCTGTCCTCTCCCTTTGGTCCTGAGCTTTAGGTAACGACCAAAAGGATGAGATTGTGGATAAAAGCGACACGTTTCCTTCAGAAAGGAGCTTCTTTAGAGACCGAGGAGCTCAGTCACACTGGAGGAGCTCGGGGGAGAGCCGCTGCTCCTCCACTTGAAGAGGAGCCAGTGGAGGGAGGAGGTATTCTGGGCATGACCCACCGGAAGGAGACCAGGTGAAGACCCAGGACACAGAGGGTCTGTCTCTGAGCTGGGAACGCCTCAGGATTCCCCCAGATGAGCTGGAGGAGGTGTGTTTCTGCTCAGACTGCTGCCCATTCAGTGATTCCACATCTCTGTTTACGGTGCTGCTTCTATCACATGTTTCACTGGTAAAAACTGTGTTTAAAATCTCACAAATGTGTGTCCATTGTGTGAGTTACATCTTTCTCACATATTTAATTTATGTTGTGTGTCTTTCATAAGCCAAAAAAAATAACAATTGTAAACCGCTTTGTGACTCTGGTCTGTGAAAGGCGGTATATAAATAAAGCTTACTTACTTACTTATTAAGTAAAAATCTATATTTGAATTGACACATGACTTGTTTTAAGGTGTTTGCCAATAAAAAAAGCAATTGGGAAAATATCTGAAAACAACAATTTAATTCGATTAAAGCTGCCAACATGGTCCATTATTAAATATGATTAGTATGAAACCCCCCTTTTACAATCACGTCCCAGATCAGATTTCCACAGTCCCAGTTCCTATGTAAACGCTGCATCAGCCGCATCAGCCGCATCTGGCTCTAACCCAGACCGACGTCCAGTGACATCATCACCACGAAGCCAAAGATGGAGGTCCACGAGGCCAGCTTCCCATTCCCACTGAGGAGACACCCACAGTTAAGTTTATGTTCAAACCAAAAGCTCTATCAACCTCAAGCAATATCATCATAAGCTACATTTAGTTTGTATTTATAGATTTGGGGAAAGTAACTTCAAAGTAATGCAGTAGCAGTGTCATGCTTTACATTTCAGTAATATTGTAGCAACACGTTACTTTGAAATAACAGTAGCATCATGTATTATGTTTTCAAAGTCACCGTCCAACACTGATCATCCATAAACAGTTGATGTGCAGATCTGCTCTGACCTGACTTGAGCCTCAGGGATGATGTCGTCCACCACCACGTAGACCATGGCTCCTGCAGCGAAGGCCAGAGCGTACGGCAGCAGAGGCTCCGCCAGAACCACCGCCACGGCGCCCAGGACCCCTGCCACCGGTTCCACCATCCCACTGAGCTGACCGTACCTGAGGTCAGACCAACACAGATCAGAGAATCAAACACTTCAAACATGTCTATGGACTAAGTACTTATTTTCACCATAATAGATTCTTTAAAAAACAGTGATTTTTGGCTCATTTTTTCTCATAGTTGATGTTTAACTCCATACCAGTCCTTATCCAATTTCACCAAAATATACAATCCAAACTGCACGCTTCAAAAGGTAAAGTATAATCTACATTTGAGTAAAAAGCCTTGGATCTAGAGGGCTGGGAAACACATGCAAAAAGAAAAATATGTATATAAAAAGTTTGTTTCACTTTGAACAAAATCTGAAATTAAATACAAAAAGTTTTTAATCAGGTGAACAAGGAAAGTGATCAATAATGTGCTTAAAAGGAGAGAAAACATCCCAAACGACTTCACTCATGAGAACTGTACAATAACTTGTTTTTTTCATGGCGCCTTTCAAGACACCCAAGGACGCCTTACAATATATTATTATTATACATTTTAAAATGACAAAGAATAAGACAGATTAAACAATCTCCAAACATTAAAATTCTATGACATAGTCGATCTTTACAGTTTGGTTTTAATGTTTAAGATAAAGACTGACCTCGTGTCAAAACCTCTGCTCATATTGACGGTCTCTGATTGTGGAGAGGAACAGACGAGTTTGTAAAGCAACAAAATAAAACCAAAGTCATGAGATGCTGTTTTTCTGTGAGAGGGTGGACCTCTGGAATGGATGCACAGAGGAACTTACATCATGTAATTGACTTTTCCACTTAGCGAGAAGTCTGGACGGCTTCATGAACTCATGCTGTTTATACAGTTGTTTATGTAAATCCTATTGTACACATGATACTGAACACTGAGCTCTAGCTTCAGCCTTTTCGTATTTCTTTCTGCCGTTTCTACTTCCCCTTAGCATCACAATAAACTTCATTCATTCAACTATGAAGGAGTCCTCTCTCACCAGAAGGCCTTCCAGGTGGACACTCCGGACCCCCGCAGAGGGAGGCTGACCGCTAACCCCTCTGGGAAGTTCTGGATCCCGATTCCTATGGCCAGATTTCTGCAAACACAATGGGAGCAGTTAGAATACTGCGTCACATCTTAGTTCAGCCCGCCTCACTAACCAACAGATAATTAAGTACTAAGAAGTGTATAAGTTATGGTTAATAATTGGTATTTATTAAGTACTCATTAGTCCTTATTCTACGACTACTTGTGGGTTTGGGGACACAGGTGTACCCCAACCCTAACCCACAGGTGTACCCCAACGTTGGCGATAGAGGAAGAGAGTGTTATTTGTATGTGTATATAGTACTGAAAAAAAAAAAAAAGTGTGTGTATATATATATATATATATATATATATAATATATATATACATAGTATATTATATATATACTATGTATATACACATATACATATATAAATATATATACACACACACATAGCATATACATATATATACTTACATACATACACACATATATATATATATATATATATTAGGGCTGTCAAACGATTAATTTTTTTAGTTGATTAATCGCACAGTAATGGTGAGTTAACTCACGATTAATCGCATTTTTAACATTCTATTTCAAATCCACTCCAATTGAAGTTAAATGAGATTTTCAAATGTAATGACACATTGTTATTCATACCAAATGTACTTCAATCTGTTTCACTTGCTCACAACCTTCTACTTTTGGGTACAACCAACAAGAGCTGTTAATGAAAGGGAAAATGTAGGTACCCCAGCTTTAATTTTGCGAGTTTGGTTGCATTTCAGCGTGTCTCCTCCTCTCCTCCGTGTGTCACACAACATCAGAGAATGGCCCCTGTGCGTGTATATATATGCGTGTATTATATGACCACGTTACTGCTGTCACCATCACACACACGCACGTGTCCGTGGCATTCTGAGTGATATTATATAAATGGGCGGGTCATTCGGACATGTGATTGACTGCCAGCCTATTTCAGAACAGGTACTCCCATATTGCCAGCCGTTTCTGATGATTTTACTATTTTCTAGACCCACAGAATATTGTGTACTATGACTATCTGAAATCCAAAACCATATTCTGAAACCATATTCTACGTTCATCAGCAAAAATAATTTTGTTTCTAGCTTGTTTCGTTCCCATGTAATCCCCAGTTGAGTAGAGGTAAGTTTTATTGAAATCACCAGAAAGCTGAGAAAATAGAGGCACATGTTTCCAAACCATTCTTAGAGCAATGCTGCCATCTGCTGGCTTGATAAAATATTGCCTCAAGCCTTATATATTTGATACAATAGACATCTGGGAACGTGAAAATAGCAGAAACGCAATTGACGTGTTAACACGTCAATGGCAGTTAATGCGTTAGCTATTTTTTTTAACGCGTTAATGAAAACGTTAATTAACGTGAATTAACACGATAATTTTGACAGCCCTAATATATATATATATATATATATACAGTGCCTTGCAAAAGTATTCGGCCCCCTTGAACCTTTCAACATTTCGCCACATTTCAGGCTTCAAACATAAAGATATAAAAATTAAAAATATAAAATTAAGATATAAAAAGATATAAAAATTAAAAATTGCAAAACAGCTCGAGCTCAGTGAGGTTGGATTGAGAGCGTTTGTGAACAGCAGTCTTCAGCTCTTTCCACAGATTCTCGATTGGATTCAGGTCTGGACTTTGACTTGGCCATTCTAACACCTGGATCCGTCTATTTGTGAACCATTCCATTGTAGATTTGGCTTTATGTTTTGGATCATTGTCCTGTTGGAAGATAAATCTCCGTCCCAGTCTCAGGTCTTTTGCAGACTCCAACAGGTTTTCTTCCAGAATGGTCCTGTATTTGGCTCCATCCATCTTCCCATCAATTTTAGCCATCTTCCCTGTCCCTGCTGAAGAAAAGCAGGCCCAAACCATGATGCTGCCGCCACCATGTTTGACAGTGGGGATGGTGTGTTCAGGGTGATGAGCTGTGTTGCTTTTACGCCAAACATATTGTTTTGCATTATGGCCAAAAAGTTAGATTTTGGTTTCATCTGACCAGAGCACCTTCTTCCACATGTTTGGTGTGTCTCCCAGGTGGCTTGTGGCAAACTTTAAAACGAGACTTTTTATGGATATCTTTGAGAAATGGCTTTCTTCTTGCCACTCTTCCATAAAGGCCCGATTTGTGCAGTGCACGACTGATTGTTGTCCTATGGACAGACTCTCCCACCTCAGCTGTAGTTATCTGCAGTTCATCCAGAGTGATCATGGGCCTCTTGGCTGCATCTCTGATCAGTCTTCTCCTTGTTTGAGATGAAAGTTTGGAGGGACGGCCGGGTCTTGGTAGATTTGCAGTGGTCTGATACTCCTTCCATTTCAATATAATTGCTTGCACAGTGCTCCTTGAGATGTTTAAAGCTTGGGAAATCTTTTTGTATCCAAATCCGGCTTTAAACTTCTCCACAACAGCATCTCGGACCTGCCTGGTGTGTTCCTTTGTCTTCATGGTTCTCTCTGTGCTTTAAACAGAACCCTGAGACTATCAAAGAGCAGGTGCATTTATACGGAGACTTGATTACACACAGGTGCATTCTATTTATCATCATCAGTCATTTAGGACAACATTGGATCATTCAAAGATCCTCACTGAACTTCTGGACTGAGTTTGCTGCACTGAAAGTAAAGGGGCCAAATAATATTGCACGCCCCACTTTTCAGTTTTTTATTTGTTAAAGAAGTTTAAATTATCCAATAAATTTCGTTCCACTTCACGATTTTGTCCCACTTGTTGATTCATGACAAAAAATTTAAATGTTATATCTTTATGTTTGAAGCCTGAAATGTGGCGAAATGTTGAAAGGTTCAAGGGGGCCGAATACTCAACGCAAGGCACTGTATACATATACTTACACATATATATACACATATTCATACATATATGTACAAAAGTTTATATATTATATATTGTAAATACTTATGTTTTATTTAGTATGTAGGACTTATGTTTTATTTCTGCTCAAATGAATAAAATCAATCACTAATGTTGTATGTGCAATACATAAAATTTGTTTCATTCTCTCTAAATGTTATTATAACTTCTTAGTATCAAATTCTAGATATAAAAATATAAAACACATTAAAAATCCCATTAGTCTTTAGCTGCAGTCTCCACATACATTACCGTTCCAGTCCACTGGGGGCGGTAGAGTGCTGTTAAAGCAGAGCTCACCTGGCGCTCTCAAACGTGGCTCCGGAGGTTTTTCCTATGGCTCCAAATCCCACTCCCACTGCCAGCCCCTCTGCAACACAACAACACTTCATATTCAGCGTTCTGCTTTTACTCACAATAAAAACCAGAACCAACGACAGAACGCTTCACAGCTGTGTCCTGTTTGTGTGATCAAAGGTACAAGCATAAAGCCCACTGCTTTCACAGCCGGGATGTATCTAGTCTCCTGCTGGGACTCTGAGGAGCACAGGGACTGGCCTCCTGCTGTACTCTGAGGAGCACAGGGATTGGTCTGGGACTGCTCTGGGTTCCTCAGACTAAACAAAACTCAGAGGAGATCGAGCTTTTCCGGTTGTTGGTCCTAAATTATGGAATGAGCTGCCCCTGTGTGTGAGACTGTCTGAGTCACTTCCTGTTTTTAAGTCTCGTCTTAAGACTTGTTCTCATTGGCTTTTAATTGATTTTCAATTGATTTTTTTTGCTGTAAATAGTATTTTTTGCCACTTTTTTGTATTTTGTAATTGTATATTTGTGTATGTATTTCTATGTACCTCACTTTGGTCAACCTTGTTGTTTTTATTAGTGCTTTATAAATAAACTGGATTGGATTGGATTTGACTGGTCTCCTGCACTGAATGTACGGAACACCATTATAGGTCTGTGTTCTCCAGAGACACCTGTTCACCTGTAGTTTCACCTGTACTAGTGTTTAATGTAAGCTCAGGCCACGCCCCCAACATATGTACTATATGTGTTATAGTATATATTAACATATAGTATATATATGTTATTTATACTTTGTTTTATGTAAGGGATAATGTATAGTACACAGGTCATAATCAGAAAATAAGTACCAACAGGGCGAAGCGGACATTGCTATATATTATCCCGCTTATTATACGGCTTTGTACCAACAGAACACACAAAATAAACTTCCTAAGAGTCCACTCTTAGGAATGCCAAAAGGTTTATTTAATGACAGAAAATAAATAGTTCCCGGCTTTCCCGTGGTTATGCTAGTAAAAGTTAGGCTAGCAACTCCCAAACTAGAACTCTCTGGAACTGCATGAAAACTGAACAAAAAATTCTGAACATCAGCGGTGAGTGACCTAAACATAAAGCTTAACAGAAAATTCTGAAATCCTCCATGCATGTGTATTAAGAATGTATATGTCTAGTGTATTCTCCGATGAACATTTAATTGCGTTGATTGATTGGCATTTGCGTTTATTGAGCGTGGCTAGCTCCGGAGTGGCCGGAACTACTTGCGGAGCAATCTACACAGATGAATTACAAGCAGAGAGTGCGTTGCCAAAGGGCAGCGGTCATTATTGTTTTGAGAGTAGAGGTGTGACGATATATTGATTTTTCGATATATTGATTTTTTGATATATCGCGATACTTTCTCCCGGGATTCGATTATCGATATGCATTTGCCAAGTATCGATATCAATTTTGAAAAAAAAGAAAAAAAATTAGAATTTTTTTTTTACAATTTTTTTTTTTGAATTGGTATCAATACTTAATATATGGCTACATTACGCTTCTCCATTCTATTTATCATGAAATAAAGAGTATTTTTTTTTATTTATGCCATAAATTGGCATATTGTATATTTCTGACCAATATATCAATAATCGTCGTATCGTGATAAAATTGTTATCGTGATAAAATCGTTATCGTGATATTATCGTTATCGTGATATTATCGTCATTGTGATATTATCGTTATCGTGAGCTTTGTATCGTGTATCGTATCGTGAGGTACCCTTAGGTTCCCACCCCTATTTGAGAGGTCCGTTATAAGAAATAATGACCGGTAGAACGTTTTGAAATTACATTCAAATCAATGGAGCGTTCTGCTGCTGCTGTGAGGAGCCGTATAATAAATGTACTATATGTTATATATACTGTAACTGTAATCTATTTGAGCTTTTGCCACGCCCCCTGGTCCAGTGATGTCTGCTGTCGATAAAACCAGAGTTTTCCTCTCATTTCTCCACAGTTTTACGTTTTAGATTGGAGAGGCAGGCAGAGGCCAGTCTGATCCAGGTTATTCCCCGACATGGACATGAAAAGCAGCGATGGAGGCAGGAGTCATTACTGAGAAGGAAGACTATTGACTTCAGATACAGGTGTCACAGAGAGCAGCACAGGATCCATTATCCACACTCTGCATCATAAGCTACAGACTCATTATCTGTCGCTTGTGGCTGAAAGAAAGTCTCTCACATAATAATCTGTATTTTTAAAAGCATTTGCAGCGCGAATACATTTGAAAATCTAAGTTTAAGACGAAGAGATGCTTGATTAGTCCCACAGCGGGGAAATGCCAGTGCTGCATCAGAAGTTACAGAACAGTAGAACGAGGAACACGCAGCACAAGATAAATGAATACTAAGCACACAGCAACTTAGAAATCAATAAATAACATCTATTTCTTTAGCTTAATGAGAAGCAAAGTAAAAGATTGTGTTCTCTAGTGCAAGGAATATAGAGAATCTTTGTATAAATATTAGAGTTATGTGTGATACACTGTGTTGACTTTGTGCTACTGGAGCAGGAGGAGGATTCAATCTTGGCCAAACAGAGAAAGGCAGAATCTTGTTACTGTACATCAGTGTTTGTTCAACAGGGCGGGGCACATACTCTGAATATTAACACATCCTGTACTTCACAAAACTAAGGAAATACCGACATCTTCGTACTTCGTACGATTCACATGTCATTATACGTTCACTCCAAACACAGTGGTGATAAACCACAGCTGCCCTAGGGCACACTGACAGAAACGAGGCAACCAGTATCTGCCACTGGTCCCTCCCACCACCACCACCAACCATTCACACACACATCAGACTCATTCTAATGGGGGTGAAGTGTCTTGCCTAGGGACACAACAGCAGTTTGGCACTTTACAGCCGCAGCCGCCCCACTGTGGCACCTGGAGCTCCCAGAGGTCTCCCATCATAGACCTCTGAAGCTAAAGCCTGGTTCACACGGCAGGATATTTAGGCCGATTTAGACCCGATTTACCCCTTACGACAATCTTAAGAAACGCTCCGATTTCCGTAACAAAATCTTACAGATTATCCTGCCGTGTGTGGTGTGTTAAGACTGCACTCGTCGCTCGGAAGGACATCGGGACTGCTCCCGATCTCAAATCGGGGATATCCAACATGTTGGATTGTTTTGGCCCGATTTCTTGTCGTGTGTGGTGTCCTCCGAGGACAAGCGAGCGCGTTGCCATGACTACGGCGTGTAGCCAATAAGAAGACGAGGTGACAAGCCGGTGAGGAAACACCGGAAAAAAACCAAAACACAGCAGCATGGCTTTGACCATTGCCTTTTCTTTGGATTACGTGTCTTCTCTGTTAACAACAAACTGCACACTATCGCCACTGCATCCTCTTCGTCCGCCATGACTGTTTACTCTGAAGTCACGCTTGATCTCGAGAGATCTGGGGGGGGGGGGTGTCGGTTCGTGTGTGATGTTTGTGGCTTGCGTGATCTTGCCGTGTGGCTACGCACCACACACTGCACGACCAAAGTGGTTAGACGCAGGATTTTTAATCTCCCCGTGTGGGGTCTAACACGGAGAAAAATCCGGCCGACAATTTTAAAATCGTCTCGTGTGAACCAGGCTTAAGCAGGGCAGGGCCTGGTTAGTACTGAGGGACCTAGCTTTGCAGGAATGGCCAAGATCATTTTCATTTTAATTGCCCGTTATGTGGAGCTGCCACTCAGACCTGTTCCAGTTCCAGGCTCCACTTCCAGGATTTCCTGCTTCAGGTTTCCTGCTGAGAGCCTGTAAGACACACCTTGACTCCCATCTCTCTCTCTCTCTGTCCTGACAGCAGCAGCCCTGTTCACCACCACACCTGCCTTCCCCTTTTGGCTTTCTTTGTGTTAATTCCCAAGACTTTTGTGTTGTAATTAAACTTCATAACTTTTAGCTGCCCGTTTTCATTTATGTTGTAAAGCCAGAGTGTAACATTGCCAAATAATACATCATATATTTTATTTATTTATTTTTCAGTATTGATATTTGTGATTCAGCAGATACTGATTTAGATGATTATTGATTATTGGTCTGTCTCTGGTTCGTTACCGCAGAACCATAAATCCTCAGGCTAAGACTAGTTTACAGCCAGGTCCCATAAAAACACAGTTAAATAACGAGATGGAGGCAGGAATTTATAGCAGTCAATTTGGAAGTAGATCTATAAACTAATCACTCTCCTATTCGTCTCTCTGCGGACTCAAACAATCTTCATATTCTGCCACGGAAAGAGGACATAGAAAGTTCCTGGACACCTGTGGACAATATTATACTGTACAGTTAGGACATTGGAAATTTGTATATTGAGCTAAAACAATGACATCAAAGGGAGTCAGTGCACCACTATGAGGTCCTGCCGTATTTCTCTGTGCTCTGTCCCCGTATGTATTATACATATAATGAATTGTTTTGGGCCATTGGAAATCAGAATGAGACTTTTCACTTTTCACAGAGCACTGTCAGTGGCAGAGCATTTAGATACCAAGCTCCTTTACTGTGGAATCAGCTTCACCACCCATGTTAAGGAAGCAGACACGGTCTCTGCATTTAAGGCCAGGCTTAAAACACTCTTCAACAATTTAGCATTTGGTTAGGTTGTTTGTCCGGTCAGGTCTCCTCCGGTCTTCAAGTCTGCGTATATGGAACCTGGTCCGCTGGATCTTCAACCCTACGTTCTAGGCTAGACATAAGGTGCTTTCACACCGCCGACGCTAGAAAGCTGATGCCTTTGCGCACCAGACGCACATTCTTTAATTTTCAGACGCATGGGTCTTCACACCAGAAGTCCTGGCCAGCGGTGGCGCCCACCGGAAGTGGCGGAAGTAGCGGAAGTAGCAGGCGGACTTTGATGCTAACAGAGTTAAGCTAGCGGCTTTTTGTTTTAAGTTCTTCTCCAATAATGGAGCTCTGCAGCGTCTCTGTGTCCAGAGACCTTCCAGAGACCTTACAGAGACTTTATATAACAGCAGTATGTGTTCACGGAGGTGCGCCATACGTTTATTTTATTATTAAAATGGTACTTCCGCATCTGCGAACACGCTCAAAGCAGTTGCATAAAGTTACGGGAGCATGAAAACGCATATATTCACAAGCACTATGTCCCCCATTGTCAACCCTGGTTTAGTCCTGGTGTAGCTCCTGTTTTGGCTGTTTATAGTATGTTCAGTCTGCTCGCTCAGACCACTAATGTCCCCGTGACCAATTTGCAGCTCTCTGATTGGTCGCTGCACGAGCGTTCCGAGGAAACGCTCAGCAAAATGTATCACCTGCATGCGTCAATTTTCCGCTCATACTCGTAAACAGCCAAAACAGGAGCTACACCAGGACTAAACCAGGGTTGACAATGTTTTAGTGCTTGTGAACATATGCGTTTTCATGCTTCCGTGACTTTATGCAACTGCTTCGAGTGTGTTCGCCGATGCGGAAGTACAGTTTAATAATAAAATAAACGTATGGCGCACCTCCATGAACACATACTGCTGTTATATAAAGTCTCTGGAAGGTCTCTGGACACAGAGACGCTGCGGAGCTGCATTATTGGAAAAGAACTTTACACAAAAAGCCGCTAGCTTAACTCCATTAGCATCAAAGTCCGCCTGCTACTTCCGCCACTTCAGGCGCGTGCCACCGCTGGCCAGGACTTCTGGTGTGAAGACCCATGCGTCTGAGAATTAGAGAGCGTCTGGTGTGCGAGGCGTCAGCGTTCCAACGTCGGCGGTGTGAAAGCACCTTTAGACTGTCAGTCAAGCTGCATAGGGAGTTAGTTTGCTGGGAGAAGTATGGCAACCTGAGCACTATCCTCTCCTCCTTCCTACTTTATCTGTTTAGAATTATAAGGATTTCATTGTTATTCGCCCGTTTCCCATTGTCTGTTTCATGGTACAACGACGGGACCTCTGAACCTGGCCTCCTCATCTACACCTGCGGACTGCCCTGCCCGACCTGCCTGGGAGTGCTTCAGTCCTGCACCGGACCTGTCCACGTTCAGCGGCCACTGGTCCACGTTCTGTAGCTTAGGTCTTGGATCTATCTAGCCTGTCCGTCCGTGTGGAGCGGATCCCTTTCTCAATATGTGGGTCTCCCCGAGGTTTCTCACTTTTTTCCCACTGGGTTTTTGTGAGTTTTTCCTTGCCGATGCAGGAGGGTCTGTTGGACACTTAAGAGTCCAACTAAAACGATGTGGTGATGATCCAGGACACTCTAACATTCTACAACATGTATGGACATCATTTATCAACATGTGTTCTATATTCTTTATGTCTTTATTGTGGATTCTCTGATCTGTGTTGGTGATTTCAATGGTTTTGTTAAGTCCTCTGAGATGACTTCTGTTGTGATTAAGGGCTATACAAGAATAAATTGTATTGTATTGTAATTATATTGTACAATTTAGAATTTTAAATAATACCCTATTTTTTTCTGAAATTCAAAACTTATTATCATAAGGCAGAGAGCTTCTCTGAGTGTGATGTCATAGTGATATCATGTTTTAACTTTAGAAAGTGCTGGAAACTGCAGCAAGTCCTAAGTAGCTCTGAAACAGTTGTTTTGTGTTTTAATTTTTTAATTTTTCTTGCTTTTTTTTTGCCTGAGATGTTGCTGCAGGAATGTGCTCATGGTTTTGCACTGGTCCAGACCGGAGCAGAGATGATTCATGGTCCAAACCAAGCGGATCAGGCAAAAATCCACTGGAGAAAATGCTAACTTTTTGAGAAATGCTAATGAAGCTTTTAGGATTTTACTTTGAAACTGAGCAGAGAAAATGGTCTGAACCAAACTGCTACTGCACCTCTGCTGCTGTGACCTTATCTATTTCTGGCTCCGGGGGTGGCAATCAGAGCTGCACCCAAATCACAAAGCACCAGTCCCTCGCTGATCCTCCTGCAGGTGGTGGGTCCACAGGAAGATGGCTGCTCCTTCAACGCAGATAAGGCCTTGATCTTTCAACGGGGACTTCAGGCAAAGTGGGATTAAGTGTCTTGCCCAGGGACACATCAACAGCAGTGGGAGCAAGTGACATGGGTCGTGATGGGATCGAAACCACAACCAGGTCCAAAGACCAATGCTCTACCATTGGAGCCACTGTCGCCCACTGTGACCATTTATTCTTACTATTGTAAGAATTTTAGAATAATCAATTCATTTGTTTTGTTTGAGTGGATGGATGTGTTTTTGCTGCTACTGGACACCTGAATTCCTCCTATGAGGATCAATAAAGTATCTATCTATTTTTTATCTGATACACAAAGGTAAGACAGAAGGGAAGGAAGTTCCTGATACTTGCATGGATAGATCAAAAAAAGTACTCCTGATCAAAAGGTTGACTTTGCATGAGCTGAAGTTAGCTGAACGATATATTCCAGTCTTCCTAAAAATGTGAGACAGGCTTCTACTCTGACAATGTTCAAAACAGTTCTGTTTCGCTGCAACAACTAAGGGATTTTATCTTTGCTCTTTACTACTGTGATTATTTATTTACTGTGCTATACAAATAAATGTGCCTCCTGACCTGGGATGTTGTGGATGGTGATGGCGAGGATGAGGAGAAGAACGCGCCTCCAGCTGCTGCTCGCTCGTTCTGATGCTTCCTGCTGTTTACTTCCTGCTTCTGCTGCTTCTGCACTGGTCGAGTGAGAGCCTCTCTTTCTTTGGTACACGTCTCCGTTTTCAAATGTATCTAAAACAAAATGGAAAAGAACAAAAGTTAGGTACGCTTGTATAAAAAGTTCGCTTTCAGATGTGTGACGTCGGGAGTGATTCCATTCTTTCAATAACATCTCAAAACAATAAAGTAAAGGAAGTCACTGCTCTATAGTAATGCAGACTCTGATCTCGTTTGAGGCTCTTTTCTGCTGAGAGCAGACTTTCAATGTAGATTTCTACAGTTTTACTGAAACTAGACGCTGTGGTGCCGGGAAGAGCAGGAATTCTATTATTTTAAAATGAAAGTCTCTTTTTACGTAGCTTTGTTTAGAAACAATGATACAGTGTGATCACACATTACACGCAGATGCACAGAACACAGCAGCAGATCATGTGACCTGCGTCAACAGCAACAACAAATATTAATCCATCCATTTTCTTCCCAGTAGCTCTGTCAGTGACAGTAAAGCCTTGATCTTTCAGTGGGGGCGCCAGGCAAAGTGGGGTTACGTGTCTTGCCCAAGGACACAATGACAGCAGACATCAGGGGGAGAAGGTCTCGTGGTGGGATCAAACCCACAACCTTGAGGCTCAGAGGCCAACTGAGCCACTGTCGCCATCTGTGATAACGAAGTCTGTGATGCATAACACAGAGATAAAAAAGTGCGATATAAAATCCCTCAGTTGTATGCACAGCCAAACAGAACTGTCTTTAACCTGGTTTTAAACATTGTCAGAGAGGAGGCCTGTCTCACATCTTCAGGAAGACTGTTCCAGATTTTAGCAGCATGAATCTGAAAAGCTGCCTCCCCATGTTTAGTTCTGACTCCACCTGATTCTGCTGGTGCATGTGATCCACCTGGTTCTGATCCACCTGATTCTGCTGGTGCATGTGATCCACCTGGTTCTGATCCACCTGATTCTGCTGGTGCATGTGATCCATCAGGTCCTGATCCAGGCTCCAGTTTGATGGATTTATTGCTGCTTGAGAATCATCTTTTGCTCATATTTCCTCGCAGACTTCCTCTGAGACACAGAGAGCAGGAGGCGCCCACAGACATCACACACTGTGCGGGGTCTTGAACCTCTGATGTCACAGCAGCAGTTAGAGCTTGGGCTCCTGCTGTGTGTGATGACTATAATCATCTGAGGAGGAGATAATGTGGCTGACACCAACCTGTCATTAAAAGGTTTTCTGAGGCATATTTGATGCAATTATAAAGGTTTTAACCAAAAGTTTTTCCATCCACACTGTGACTCAGCTGTCACTCAACTTTGAACCAAGCCTCTTTGCTGAGCAGTGTTCAGTGTGAACAAAGACAACAGTCTGTTAGACACTAGTTAGAGTCTAGCCTGGTCGTACCACAATATAGTACAAATTAGATTTCGTAACATGCAGGGAAATGACGATTGAGCGGAGTGTACGGATGGCTAAGGCCAGGCATAGAGTCTGAAGCAGGGGTCATTCAGACCCAAGTTAGCGTCTGAAGCAGGGGTCATTCAGACCCTAGTTAGGGTTTGATTAGGAGCGATCAGTAGCTCCCAAAGGATTTCGACCATTCAACATATTTACCTTTGAGCGTCAAGCAAGCCCCGGCGATCCAAGATGGCGCCCTATTCAAATGAATGGTTGTGCTCAGTGGCGCTTTGTGACGGCATGGGGGCTGAAAGATTAGCGGAAGTTGCCTGAAACTCTTCTTTATTTAATTTATTCATCCATTCTTTTTTTTCCGCTTTGAGAGATCTCTCTCTTTTCCTCCTCCTCCGTTGTTGTTGTTGAGAGAGATCTCTCTCCATGTGTGCTTAAAAAAAACCGTACTTTCTATGATCGTGGCGTTTGCATGATATTATGTGTAGATTCAGATGACAGCGCTTGGTCAGTCCTCACCCATAAACATAGCGGTGTATATCTATGCTGGTACACTATGTTTGTATATTTTCCATAGCTGTTGAAAGCTCTTGCACATATGGAGGCATACAAACGGGATCTAGTTCTGCAATGTGTGTGTATGTTGTTGTGTGTCGCATGTGAAAAATTCTAGGGAAATGAATTAAATTTTCCGGTAAGAGCCCCGGGAAGACCCAGGACCGCTGGAGGGACTATGTCTCTCAGTGGCCTGGGAATGCCTTGGGGTCCCCCCGGGGCACGAGTGGGAGGAAGGGTGTGTGGGATAGGGAAGTCTGGGCGTCTTGCTTAGATGCTGCACCCGCGACGGCAACGGATAGCGGAAAAACAGAATGGATGAATAATTAATAAAGAAGTGACTGCAAACAGAAGTGGAGTGGGTGTGTGTGTCAGGTGCTCATTGATGCTATGAGCGGTTTACGTTAACCTGGGTGTAGAAAGAAGATCCGAGGAGAGTACAGTAAAGGCCTTTATTAAAAGTTCTATACTGAGGCGCTGGGGGTGGGTCGTGGGGTCTTTCCCGGGCAAAAATTATAACTAATTATACTTTTTTTTATACCAGTAAGTGTCACTTCTTTCCCCAATTGAAAGTAAACTGATTATATATATTTCTTTGCCAAGGTTAAAGGCAGCACTGTTAAGATTTTCGAGTGGGGATAAACAGAATTATTATACTTGCTGAAAATGAAATATTTTTCATATTGGGCGTATTCAGTACAGGGCCACATAAACCCGGGACAGAGATTTGCTGAGTCCAGAACTAGAAGGGTTTCTTTTTTGAAAAAGGAATGTCAGCTACCTTCTGACATACTCTTCTGTATTTATAGTACATTCTTGGATTCAGCATTTATATTTGATTTTGTATTTTTCTATTTTTGTTCAAAATTGTATGTCTCTGTGTGAGGGTTGGGTGAGGTAGATATGTATTTTTTTTTTTTTACCTTTTGATATGATTGATATTGATAGCGCTGCAAGATGATATCAAATAAAAACATAGTAGTCCCTTCCTAATTAAAATATCTTTTTATCAGAGTGCATTTGGATTTTCACCCTGTTTTACTTTCCAACAGAAAGGGTATCTTTGTTTTGCAAAACTTAGTAGTATAGACTGATTTTTGGACAGAATGTACAGTATAGGTGTCCTTTCCTGCTCGAGCAGGCTCAATTATAACTCTTGCATTCAAGTGGAGTGAATTATGTCGCTATGCTGAACTCAAAGGCTGACAATGGGACGACGGAAATGAATGTAATCGGGAATGTCAAGATTCCCTTTCCATATCTCTGCGGTGCCCCACTCACTTTGTGCTAATGAGAAAATCCATTATCCCAAATCGTACAGCCTTTTTAGTAGTAAAACACTGCTTATGACTTCAATATAATTAGGGGCTCTAAAGGACAGTCAATAGATGAGTGGCTAGCTTCTTTGCATAGTTGAAGTGCATATAAAGTACTTTTTAACTGTTCAGAAATCTGCATCTTATGGAATTAAAGTTAGTAAATTGGTTTATTGGGGAGTCTGTCAACACCAGTGAATCTGGGTGTAGCTTACTGCAAAGAAAAAAATCAAGCAAGGGTGCCATTACTGCTATGTTCCTTAACCCTTGTATATGTTGAAAAAAAATTGACATTGATGTGTTGCGGGTTCATTTTGACCCGTACTGTGTAAAAACACTCTCAAAAACAGCAAGAAAACAGGTTAAACCATTAACAAACTTTATTTTAGGTTATATATATATTTAGAAATAGTGTACATACAATAAATTTTTAATTCTAACGCTATATTTAGAAATATTAGTATCTATCCTATTGTCCTCCTCTCGGGTCAAAAATGACCAATTCTTTCCTCCTGCATGCCTTGTTCTTTCCATTTTTTTTTCCCTGTTTTCCTTCTCTCTGTTCATCCTAATCTATGTCCCTTCTTTTCTCTTCCGTCTTTCCTTCCTAACCTTCCCTTCCTTCCTCCTTCCTTTTTCATTGACCAACAGATTCGTCCTCTGAATCCTCCTTATCGTAGAATAATTGACAATTGGATCAGCAATAACATTGTCCTCTGTTCTCTGAAAATCCTCTGTCTTCTGAAATCTCTTCCTCTCCATCATTATCCAGTTAAAAATCTGTGAGAAAGCCTCCTCAGATGTATCCTTTGGAGCTCATTGTTTGGTGAGTTTGTATAAAGGCCTAGCGCACAACGGGACAGAGTAACTGAGACAACTAGTTGCAAGGTGGCTTGTGGCAACTGAGAGGAGGATGACGGAGATGATCAGATGAAAGCGGTCGATGTGAGCGCTCTTACAAATGGAGATAAACAGGTCGATATCGGATTCCAGTCAGATGCCGTGTTATACTTTTCGGCAACTAGTTGTCCTTCAGATCGAGATATTCACCGTTGTGCGCGCTCCAACAACATGTGTGTATTGCGCCCCTCTACAGTTTATGTCAGAAAATCACACCGTAGTTGAGGCCAGTTGCTGTCCAATGTAGCGCTGTTATTCCGAGACTGGCCTGCTATAGGAGTTGCCCGTTTTAGCAGATTGTCGATGGTGTGCTGTGGCAGCAAACTCATAGTCGACAGATTCAGTATAAATCAGTTGCCAGTCGTGTAGCTAGGCAAAAGGAGTGACATGAGAACATTGACAGGAAAGTTAAGAAAGTTCCCTCTCTTACACACCCTGGCTCTGGGTCTCAGAGGCAATCAAAATACATGTCAATGGAGACATGTTTTTTGGATCTGAACACAAACTATTTACCCACATTAAAAGCGTTGGGGTCAAAATGACCGCCAACATCATCTTTGTATACAAAAACTTCTGACAGACATTCCGCTTCACATCAAAGTGTCCAGATTGTACCACACCAGTTCATGACCCTAAATGAGGAACAGTCCACCAAATTTCAGTAGAAAAAAGAGGATAACCAGTACTGTTATCAACTCAAAAAACTGAATGGGTTCAAATTGACCCTTACATATACATGGGTTAAGGAAAACCTATAGCGAATCTTACGTCAAAATAGTTTACTTGAAAGTTGGAGCTGACTGACAATCCTGAAACATAGAGTTTAGTATACCGATGTTTATCTATTACAACTTTCTGAGAGTCCTAACATGTTGCACAGATCGAGGAGGAACATGGTAATCATCAATCTTCTCACTTCATCCTGTTGAGGAGGATGGTCTGAGCAGAGTGCATAGACAGGCAGGGCCATCCATCCATCCATTGTCTACCCTTAATCCGTTTCTGGGCAGGGGGTGGCCAGAGATGCCACCATAAGACTGTATTTATTAACGAGACGTAGCACGCCCTATCTCCGCGTTTCAAACAAATGGGCCAAACAATGTGCTCTACTGGAGCTATACAAAATGGCCGCGGAGTGGTCCCGCCCCAAGATGTATACTATATATATATATATATATAAATATATTATATATTATATTGCTATATGTTAGCATTGGCAAATTTTTAGTTCCGGGTCCACCCCATTGGCCCGGGTGGTATTCCAGCATGTCATTTTGCGCATGTCATTTTGGCCACTTTTGAGCCGGTGTTCTGCGAGTTGTGCGCTTGCCGAGTGTGACGCTGATGTAATGCCTCTGCTGTTAATGATGTATGCAAACCTGCGCAGGCGCGTTCACGCAGCCGAAACAAACCAGATGGGGACAGAAAGTCCTGAGAATTGCTTTATAGTTAAAACACGAAACAAATTAAGGACCGAATGTCAATTTTAAGCAATTTGAGGCGATTTGTTGACGGTTCCCTGTTGGCACATGTGGGTTTTAAGAGTCAATGTTTCGTGTAAAGTATAGTATTTTTTTTTTTTTCAAAGCTAGTCAACTTCGCCTATGAAACCACTATGCTAATGTTATAGAGAGCAGTCCGCGGGTGCTGACGTAGGCTGATGAAGCTTCCTGTGGGCCACCTTACAGCTTTACAACTGGATGAATGTGATAATGGAAATAATAAATTTTAATAAGGATCACCTAATTTCGCCTGCTCCTTCTCGAATTATGATACCCAATGGAAATTGCTATTGTGTGGACATCTTGTGTCTGATTTGTGTTATGAGGCCTCATTTGAAAGGTAAAGCCTTCTGAGTTTCTGAAAATGTATGTACAGTTTGTTAGGAAGGACTCAGTCTGCATTCCATCTTCTCAAACATGAGTCAAAAGTTAGTATTTTTTGTCAAAAGAAAATAAAAGGCAATTTCCAAAGGTTTCTCCTGCATGACAGACTTATGTTGTGTTCAAACTCACCAGCGCAGATGATTTGTGGAGTGGGAAACCACCTATATGAAATTTTAGACCTTTAGGTGGAATTTTTTGATGTGGGGGCTTTTTTCGTATTAATGGGCACATTCGCACTAGTGGTCCATTTTTGTTGCAAATGTGCAAAGTGTTTTAATGCAAATTATCAATGTTTTTACATCAAAAATTTTTTGGCTTTACTCTAGCTATTAAATAGCATTTTTCCAGTTATTGAAAGGTTTGCAGAAAAGCTATTATTATATTTAGTTATAGCGCGTGTTCTCAGTGAAAAGGGACTCAGTATTCCTTCCTTTACGCATTCAAATATGACGGGAAAACAGGGGGGAACTAGAT